AGCGATCTTTACAGTAACTTTAGCTATGAGAAAATTTTGGATTTTCTTAAAAGTGACAACACTGTGATTAGAGACCAGTAACAAAGCTACAAGCAAAAAGCTCAGAGGATAACTAAGATATCTAATTGTTTCCACAGATATAAGGAGAACATAAAACTGAGGAAATAAGTGCAAAGTAAATACAGCCTAAGCAATTAAGTGCATTTTAGATTACGAATGAACCAATTTCACAGACCACTGATATTTTTCAAGCAGTTCTGAAGAACGTTGTTTTGCGAGAGTACTCACTGTTTTTAGAAGTCTGGGTTCTACTGTAAGCAAAATTAATGCAGCCAGAGATCCTCAAGATACCACAGGCGAGTGTCTAACCATTCATCTGCTGCCATCGTGCCCCAGTCCCACTCTTACGGTCGTACCCAGTGTTGCTTGAGTGCTCTGATTCATTCAGTTTTCCCATGAAGAAATAACCTTGGGCATCAGCCTCCTTCTTTTCTTGCCCAACCGGATTAATATTGAGGAACCTGCAGATGACAATAAAGGTATTGCACTGCAAAATGACAAAACAAGTTACAAAACACACCCGCAAAACTGCCAGATTGCCACCTTTGCCAGGAGTCCACACAGATGAATCACACCCGCGTAGTTTGTATCTTTCTTCCTCATGGAGAAGGCATCTTCTGCTCTTCTGGATTTAATAGATTGAGACTTTAAAGACCAAAAAAAAAAATCCATGATCAAAATCTGGTCAAGTTAACGTATTACCCTTCATAAATCAAAGACGACACTACTGACGGTATCTCGCACAGCTGAAAAGCTCAATGAGCAAGTAATAATCTTTTCTTTACAGGCTGCACCCATTGTAAGGGGTGAGAGCTGTCTGCTGAACTTTCTGCCATGTTCACTGTTGCCTCTCTTTGTATTGGCTCACCTCCAACAGCCAGCAATTTACAGCAAGTAGTTTATCATAACAGAAGAGCAATTCCTAACATACCTTTTACTCACAAGGCTGCTTTGGAAGAGCTTTGGTCACTAATTTTTTCCACAATCCTGTAATGTGTTTGTCATGAGCTTATAGGGTTTCCTGTGATAACGTCATTTTGCCTGCTACCACAACTTCAGTCAGTCCTCAGCCACAAGGTAGGTCTCCAATTTTAGCCTAAAGATAGGTATTATTTACTGTTCTGTTTTGATATAGCCAGCCTTGCATCTCACATTGGTAACAAGTAGGAATTAAGCCAAGCACAATTAGACACAGCCAACACAGCCCATCTGGAAAGGTTAAATGACTTGCACTTGATACAGTACCAGGTAGAGATGAATTAAAAGGTGGCACCTTAGCTACCTTTTAAGTCAGAAGGGCCAAAGACCAGATCACATCAAGGTACAGACACCTGTTGTAAAAGGCTTCTTCCCTTAGTCACCTGGAGTTGTGCTTCTACACAGTCCCTGAACCTTTGCTACGATGGCAAGACTGAATACCCCTTGATTCTCAAACACCTCCCCAACCTAAGCAATAGTCCTCTGAAGTACACAAAGGCTGGCACACTTCAACACTCAGACACACACATGCTTCTCCCAGAAGGAAGAAGTGTGAATCTGTGCTCCTGAGGGCTTAGGAAGATATTCAAACCATGATCTCCAACAAGCAAGGACGGTACTTCCAAACCCCAAACCCAGCAGCATCAGTCCCACACTTTACAAGCTGGTCAAGGCTGCTTGCATTCTTCAAGCTGGGAGGTATGTGCCCAGGCACCCAACAGGGAGTGGTTTGTCTTTTCAGCTCTTGCAAAATCCAATTAGCCAAGATATATGACCAGCTGCTTCGACACCGCTCTAAGAAAGTGAACAGTCAGCAATCAGGAACATCTCAGAGAACTCCAATAGCAGCCAAAAGTAAGGCAGGTGTGAAAAACTGGTTTTACCATTTCCTTTGGAAAGAGTTAACAGACTTCTACTAATTTATGACTTCAATGAATACAAGGTATTTATTTAAAAGTTCAACAGATACTTTGCTACACAACCCAAAGTCAAACCTTGCAATACATTACAGGTATCATCAGAAAATTAATTCCCCTGAAGCAACATTAATGAAAAATGTTATCTTGCTGGTGATTGTTTAAATAAATTAAAAAAAAAAAAGTAGACCCGTAATTTTTTTTTAACACTGTACCTTGTATGCAAACAAAAGCTTTTTGGAGAAAGTTACAAAGATTGAATAAAAACCTTGCAGTTGAAAAATGCCCTTCTGTTGTTCTGTTCTTCATCTGCCTTCTCCCTCATCCATACCCCTTTTAAACATGCCATGCTCTCAGTCTTCAGTTCTTCATTATATATTTAGGAAGTGATTCAAACATGCATTTATCCATGCAACTGATTGGCAACAGGGATCTTAAAAAAGGCTCTGAAGATGCACAATAAGGTCAGTTCAATATGGACCAACAAGAAATTAAAAAAAAAAGGGAATAAAGAGATACTGGTAAGATTCCCAGTTAAATTTGCAAATTAAAACAGTAAGATTTCCAACTGTCTGGATCCTAAGCCATCCTGGGAGTCAGGAACCGGAGCATTCCAGTGAGTAAATTAAAATCCAAAAGCCTCAAAGGCAGACCATATAAATAACAATACACTTCACTCCCACCCCCCAAACTCCTCCTGCAAAGAATTTAATGGCATATGAAACATTCCTGAACAGAACTGAGCAGACATTTCAACAGGTTTTTAAACTTATTTTATTTGCCAAGTTTGGATAGCATGCATCATTTTACAGCACCGGTAAACAAGTCAGTGAAGCATACTGCTTTTAGGAACTTGTACTGTGGAATGTCTTCAAAACCATTACCCTCTCCCCCTCCACTCTAGTACGTAACACTAGCTGAAGACAAGACAGAGATATATCGGGGCAACTTTCTTATGGCTAAAAATACTCAATAGCAGCGACTTTTAAAGGAGGGTTTTATTAAGTCAAGTCATTGCACTTGGGTCATTTATTGCTATAGCAAACAAAGGCCGTTAAATAACAAACACCTTTCATTTGTGGTTTTAACCGATTGTCTTGTTCTGTTCATCTGCTACAAGCTTACATGCAGACACAATTTCTGTGGAGCAATCCATTCCAAGATTTGTTTCATGCTCTAATCACAGTGAGAGCTTGTATAACAAAATTGGCTATTCCCTTAGGCTCAATTCTTGCTTTTCGTCACCTGACTTAGAGATATGAATTCTAAGTAAGAGTTTAGTGTCTGATGAGAAGCATTACTTCTGCACATTATTCCTCAATATATAGATCTGGCTCAAGTCTTCATTTGTGATGCATCTAGGCAATTAAAAGCATTAATATTGAATCAGCTTATTAGCAATGTGACTAGCAAATATTCCCTAATACCTCGTAGTATATTAACCAAATTTTATGAACAATTTAAATCAGCAATTGACAAACATCCTCCAACTGACCTTTTGATGTTTGTATTTTATGATGCATCAACTGTGGAAAACGTATACTCTCAAGAAGCAACACTTCCCTGTCACTTGCTCAAGTGACACACTAAATAATTACTATATTGATGACTATTCCCATGAATAGAAACTTAATTACTTCTCTTACTGGTGAAGTTGCCAAACTACGTGGCATGTTTTTTCATTTAAATTCTAGTAAACCAAAAGGAGATATGGTGATTATTAACAGAAGTAATGCATTTGACTGGCTTTCTAAGCTGTAAGTTTCTTAATTGTTTGATCAAATTAACACAGCAATAAATATCATTGTCTCCCACCACTTTACATATTATTTGGATATTATTCTGGTGCACTGTGTTGAGCTCAGGGGTTAAAGATAATGGCAATCCACAAGATTTCAACTGTTTTCCATAAAATGTGAAAGATGCCGTCTTGGACACCAGCACAATGCTGTCAAAGCAATTGTTCCAATCACTCATTAAAATACAAAGATGTTATTAAATTTAGAGATACACAATATACTGAGAAAGTTTATGGCATAAATATATAAATATTGAGACCTTTTGAGAGTATCAAAGTTCCAAAGGGATTTATTTAGAGACATATTATAAACAAAACCTGACTATTGTAAAAATGGATCAAGATGCATATTTAACCACTAGAAAGATTGATGACTTCAGTTTAAATACACAGAAGCACAGATGTTGTGACTTAAGGTTTACTTTTTCATGCTGTATGCTGTATACATTTTAGGCACAACAGGTTAAGACTGGATTGTAGCCTTGTTTCTGTTTTTCTTGCATTTTGTGGTTTTAAAAGTTAATTTTGTCATAGCTTCATGATTCAGTCCCAAATCCCTTTTTAATCCAATAGTGCAAGTGACAAAACATTCTGCTAAACTACTCAGATTAGATCATTCGTTCTTACTATAATGCATAGGAGTTTCACCTGCTTCGTTGCATTAAAAAAATTCCTATCTCATTACTCAACTTATAAACAGCATATTATTAATATTCTCACTGCAGACAGGCACAACAGCATAACCCTGGGTAAGACTGCCAAAATTATACAAATATCATATATTCCCTTTTGCGTCTAGGAGAAAAGTAGTGACTACAATTACAATACAGTTATTACACCCCTCCCAATAGACTATTTTACAGATTAGTTGTAAAGATAGATCACCCTATTTATAGTATAGATCTCTTTAAAAATTAAGCTACAGGTATTCAATAAAAATCTATTAAGAATTCCCTCTCCTTTCTATACAGATTCAGTAGTATTTTCAAGCAAACCAAAAAATAAGGTCTGCAATTCCAGCACAGTAAGAAATAAGGCCTCTTTTATATTGGCAAAAAAATTACACCATTATTCTTTTTTGTTTTCTTATCTCTCTGAATAAAAGACTATATTCCTTTTTTTACTATATTTTTTTCTTTAAGACTGTAGAACACCAGCATCCATTATTATTATGAAATAAGAGTCAGTTCTCCTTGTGTTCAGCTTTGAATTCCTGGTGAGTTAAAAACATTGAGTCCATAACTGTCTCATGTAGACATCACTGCTTTCTTCAATTTTTCTATTTCAAGCTGGAAAACGGACATTTTGAAAAGAAAGAGAATCAGTATTAAAGTAGCAATAATCTAAAGTCTTCAGAGCTTTCACCAATATTATAACCTTTATATTTCAAAGACACTTAAGTAAAAAAAATCGTTACACAGAAGCATTTGACAGCTTGATATTTACAGCTGATTTCATACTACTGTTGGCTAAACAAACAAGAATTTAAATTCATCAAAAATTTGCCTATAGTTCTGGTACATCTTATTGGATAAACTCTGAATAAAGCAGTCAAAGCTAGGTTGTGGAATCGCTTGACATGTCCCCATGTAACGCTGCATCATCACCTCGGACTAACTTCCTAAAGCAGCCTTCATGCAAAATACTGTGCCATGATTAATTTGTATTTCTTCAAATGGATTTAGAGGATACATGGAATTTACCTCCTCTTCATCTCCAGTGCATATTTAAGGCTACTTCATTGATTACTTTAGAGACGCATTAAAAAGGGGACTCACCAGAAGTTCTTCTCAAGTTTCCAAAGTAGCTTTGTAGTCAATAAGAAATACTATTTCACAAATAAAATGCCCTTTTGTACCAGACTGAAATAATTTTCTACAATGAGCTCATCCTATTAACTACTTAATGGCATCATATTATAATGCAGGTAGCCTTCTTCATCAGTAAATTGAGAGGAGTAGCATTCATGCATAAGGATATTTTTCAGATGCATTCCATTCTTTCGGCAAATTATTCACTTAATATTTAAACAGTTCATCAAAAAAATTAGGAAAGTTTACTTTTGCCCCATTTTTCTTTTGATTACATAAAGTAAATCTGTCCTTCAATCTTCCAAAAGCAAAGTATTAATCTTCTCCCTTGGAACACAGCAGAGCAAAGAATCCAGCAACACTAAACTGAACTTGCATTCCAACACCCATACATATTGTTAAAAATACGTTATGTTAAAAATTTTCCAGATAAAGCAAGCTCAGCTAAGATGAACTGTGAATCTTCTATATACAACCAAATGCCTCCTGAGGCATTCATTCAACCACACAGTAACACAGCAATCAAAAAAAACTGAGCAGGCTCATTAAGACCTTCTTGTGGCATCAAATACTAGAACTGCCTACAGACTTCTAAACTTTACTCCCACTCAAATTGCTAATATTACCTCCAGATTACTTCGTAACAGCTTCTCTTCTTCCAAATCCTTCTTTAGTTTTTCCAGTTCTCTCCTAAAAGTAGTTAAGATATCAGAAATGCAAGTTTCACATTACTGAGAACAGGCAGCATGGGTCTTGTTTAAATTTTACAAGAGAAATTCCTGTAACAACTGTCTGATGCTATATCTTATAAATAAAACTTCCATATAAGTACATGCCCACTAGTGAACTGGTACTCAAATCTAGTGCACCACAAGCTTCCACCAACTCTCAATACTTCTTACCTATCACTGTGCACTTACTCCTAACTTATAATCACAATTTTAAGTACGCTACTTTAAAATTTCTACTGTTATTTTACTTGAAGGAGTTGAATTTAAACCAAGATAACCTGGCAACTTCTACATAGAGATTAGAAATTCTTTAGAATAAAAAGTTCCTAAAATATGTTTTATTTCATAACTATGTTCAGGCATGAAAGCGCTAAGAATTATCATCAAGTCACTGAAGAACTAGTTCATTAATCTCCAGAACTCATAATGTACTAGTGTGCTTTGGAGACCAACTGATCCTGATGCTCTATAACCTCTCAAGAGGTCAATCTAAAAGCTGGTTTGGTTAGCACTAGTCATCACTTAACGAGTACCAAAATGAATGTCTGTGCTGTAAAAATAAAAACAGAAAAGGTAAATTTCCTGCAGATTGGTCTTTACTGTGTTTACTCAAACACCAATTACATTTTTCTTCTACATCATTCTCCAAACACAACCCTACCCACATGCACACAGATGACTGGGCCACCATGATCACCAATTTGAAAAGCTCAGTAATATCTTTCCCTACTACCAGTCACGTCAATACTGCAATTACTTGTGCGCAGTGTTACACAAGGTCAGCACATGTACTTACATTAAATACCACAAAAATTATCTACTTTTCCTTACAGTGAAGGTACTAACTGTTTAAGAAGTATTTACAAAAAGCTGTAATGCATGCAGGAGTGCAAGTAGGAAGGAAAAATGTGTACAAATTCCAAAAATACTCTGACATCAAATCTGTATGTATTTAGGACATCTAGTTGGATCAACTTCTAAAGAAAGAACTTCTGAATTAATATTAATACAGAATAGCATTTTTTTTCTTCTTTTTTATTTTAAAGAAGTTTGGCATTAAAGACATTTGGGAGATGTCTGTGTAACCCTTTGAGATTGAGAAGGAAAATATTTACCCATGTTCTTTCTTCAGTACGTCTACTAAACCCATCAAATCATTAATCTGAGTCCTGAGCTCTTCCACAGAAATTTTTTCATCATCTGTTTCTCCTTTAAGTTGGATGTCTCCAGGAAAAAAGTTGAGTATAACAGAACTTGGTCTCTGCGATGAAGATGGATTTGGTGGACTGAATGCAGATGGCTAAAAAAAAAAAATACATCAGTGGAAAGCTGAGAAATGAAATCATACTGACTACTTACAGCATACAGGTTGTACTGTTATGGGAGCTACATGTGCACAACCTCCTTAATTTTCTACCCAAAAGGCAAAAAACAATGTCCAGTTCAAATGGACTACTGTAGTATATGAGATGCAGTTATTTTATACAGCTCTTTATTAAGCATTTCCCTGAGGTTCCTGTAGTCACTAAAAAAAGTGCTCACACTGCAGTTCTCTCAAAAACAAAACAAAACAAAAAACCAACGTGATTTAATGGGGCCCATAGGTTCATTATAAACAATCTTTTCTGCACCTTTCTGCTCTGCTCAGTTGTTCTGTCTGTCAGGAGACTAGAGGATGAGCAGCCATGAAGCTTATTTGGGAAATTATACCATAGGTTTTTTTATGCTACCCGATACAATAGCTCCCATCAGAACTGATGAACTTTATACTTTAGTATAATGAACTTTATACTAGAATTTCTAATATGAACTTTATACTAAGCGACATGGCTCACTTGCATTTAAATACAATCATTTGCATTTAGGTGGTTGCATCGATCTAAACTGGAAATGCAAGCAAGATGAACAGAACACCTAGCTGCCTGGTACTTATCTAGCTCCTTGGTATCATACCTTTTTTGTTTCAACTGGCTTTGGTTTGGCACTTTCTTCTTCTTTCTGCACCTTCAAATTTTTTTCTGGACTCACATTTTGACTTGCCTGGTAAACCATTCATCAAAAATAAAAAGGTTTTCAGAATTTTAAAAAATAAATAAAAAAAAGTAAATAAAAAAAGAACTGTCATATGTTTCTAAAAATGCAACAGAAAAAAGAAAAAAAAAAAAAGGAAAAAAAAAGGCCACAAAACCCAAACACCCAAACTTAAATTATTAGACTACCATGGTTTTCTTTCCCTGCCAGTCAGAACTTCCCTTCCTCACCATACTCATTCAGCTGAATTTACATCAAACATAAAAATCTTGGGCAGGATTCTCAAGCATCTCTGCAGTACTTAACAAAGCAAGTCCTTGATGCTTTTGGGAGCCTGTAGGTACCTTCTTAAAACATAAACAGTAACCAGCAGTAACTGTAGATATTAACTGTAGATGGTAACTGGCATGACTGAACTACACAACATCCAATGATACAATTTGTTTTCAGGGACTCCGCACCACCTGGTTCTCATGGTCTGACAATATCATGTCTTAGCACACGAGATCACAAGTCCCGCATTACAGCAAAATTAAATTACAAATCTGTTGTTAGGCCTGTAAAGCACTAAAGACACTTTCAGAGTTGTGTGTATGCACACCACCTATTTCATCATCAGTGACGCTAGAAGAGCTAAGTACTTACTGCAGTAATACCCCACAGAACAGAAAGACTCCTTCAGCTGCAACGCAGTCACGTTGTTTCTCTTACATACGCTTCCCTCCGGGGAATGGATGTTCCTGTAGACAAAGTCTATAGGAACTGAACCTCTACGGCATTTTGCCCTCAGATAAATGGTTCATAAAACTGTTTCCCAGTGCAACTCTGTTTCCTGGGAAGTTAGTTCACTACTAGGAAAACACCCAATATACTCACAGGACTGCTGTTATTGAAACGTGAAGGCAGCCTCCTACCAGGCATCTTGGGTCGGTTTGCAGTAGGGTGTGATAGATTATCTGAGGTAGCTATTACATCATCAAAGCTTAACAGATCTAGGAAAAAAAATGAAAACATAGACCACCATCAAGACCAGAAGGTTTTGCTGCATTCTTTTTTATCACTTTTTTTCCTCAAGACAAAAAATAAATATGTAATTTATCAGAATTCTTATTGTTTGAAAGTTTTTCAGTATATACAACACGAGCCATATGAAACAACTACACGACTTTGGCATATCTGGGAAACCACATTTTCCACCTTGAAAAAAAATTAAGAGTTAATTCAACTAGTATTTAAATACAAGTTCTCAACAGAAATGCTGTAGTAACATGGCAGCAAAACCAGACCTAACAATTATCTGGAAAAGAATATATTTATGACTTTTCTTGAGAGGTGCCATATTCAACTGTTTAAGAGAGCATATAACTTGCATGAAAAGCATGAAACCTCAAGTTTAGTGACTAAGACAAAAATAAAAGCAGTATGGTAAAGTACATCTCCACAGGTTGGTGAAATAAGTTAAGATGACATTAACTGCAAATATTTCTGTGCAGGCTAGTTTTTTCATATGCAGTGTTTTGTCTAAAGAAAATACACAACTTCATAAAGTCTGTCATAAAGAATTTCAAAACTCCATTCTCATACTTTATTATACCATACAGATCTCTCTGTTCATTAGTCTCTTTATGCTCACAGGTCTCGGTGTACTCTCTCCTAGATCAGTAGAAATTCTTTACATCCTATGGGAAGAGGCAACCTTAGGAAAAAGGCTGCCTATTAATAGGAAGATTAACATTAATAGGAAGAACAGAACATATCTAATCTAACAACATAAGTAGTTCACCTAGTTAACAACTGGACTTCTTAACTGTTTCTCCACAAAAATAATACTACTACTTACCTGTCAACAGATGTGCCATGAGATAGGTTTTTTGTTTAAGCATTGACATAAGATCATAGGTGTTATATAAGTTTTTACAACACAAGTTCGTTACACTTATTCTAGGTACTCTAAATGTTTAGCTAAAATACCACACAGCATTTACTATGGGCACCAAAAGTAACATTCAAGAATTGGGGTTTGTTGGGCAGGGAGGTGGTGGTTTTGCAACCTCTGATTTTTACATGACATTATGATTTATCAAATAGCAGCTATGATAGTTCTTTCCCTATTTTCTCATTCATTTTAAAGCTATAGAAAGAGGTCATATAACAAAAAAGCCCTAAGAACACTGAGCCAGACTATTGATACCACTTTCGTGTTTGGATGGATGACTTAAAATCATCTGATTAATCAGAGTTTTAATCACACATTGTCAAAGCTAATTTGTACGTGTAGAAACTAAGTTTTCCACTGAATGTTTTAACTGATTTTATTGTCTTCTATTCTGTGTTACTATCCTTGAAGTCCCTAAGATATTCGCAACTTCTGGGCATCCCTGAACATATTTCATCATCTGTTGCCTTGTTGAAATGCAAGCTTTTATAACAGTATCTGTTACCAATCAGTTTTGCTGCTTTTTAATTTTATTAAAGAGAACGTAAATACAGTCTTTTGTAAACATGTAATCATATCTGCAATGTAAAAAAGCGGGGGGGAAATAAACAAAGAAGGAAGAAACAGAAGAGTGATGAATGGCAAGCAGCTGACGGAAAAGAGGATGAGGGAGAATTAAATAACTATGAAGGTATTTCTGCTGTAGTCTGTGCCAATAAAATATTTAACTTATTAGAAGTCAAGCAACAGTGACCAACACGTTTTTTACTCAATCCCAGAGCACTAATCCATGCCAAAATGTAAATCAGGATTTACGTTAATTAGGTATTATTAAAAAGGTAAAAAGAAAGCAGAAAAAAAATATATATGCCCTTTCCCCCATCTCAGTAATTTTTGCCTTTAAACGACCCTCCTTTTGTCATTCTGCAGAAATGACAAATCATTTGGCAGGAAATTTAAATAAGAATTGAAAATTGAGTTGCTATTATGATTGTAATGCCAGCTCTGTGTCCACGAACAAAGTAAACATCAGGCATATTAAGAATAATGTGTACATCTGAAAAAAACCCACAGTATTTGACAAGGCTTGAAGATGAAGACTGCTACAGTCTTGAATTGTATATGATTTCAATATAGATGGTGGGATGACACTAAAGCCAGGGGCGATGGGGGTGGTGTCCTATTTGTTAAGAGCTTCTAAAGGAAATTGCTACACCTGAGACAATTGCTCAGCATTAAAATATTAACAGCACCTTACAGTCAGAGGAAATTCTGACTGCACTTGCATTTTTCTTTTAACCTTTTCATTTTGTTGCTTTGGTATAGGGAAGAAATTAAAGCACAGCCTGATGGAGATTAGGGTTTGTGTTTGTGGTGGTGGTTTTGTTTGTTTGTTTTCTTTTTAAACAGCATTCTTATTTATTTTAGGAGAAAGCCTGGCCCCACTGAAACCAATAGAGATACTGATGAAACCCACTGAAACTTCACAATTTCAACCAATAAAATGATTTATCAATTAACTTTCTTACAGACAGCCTGTAGATAATTGTTAAAGGAAATCCCATGATAGTGCCAAAAGAGCAACATTATACACGTGGGGATAATTTGAGTCAAAAAATGATTTTAAGGCTGAGCAAGAGCATCTTTCTTTCTAGAAAGATGAGTCAAGTTTAAACAGTTACTTAGGACAGACTACTAGAAATATCTCTTCTGCAAGCTTACCATGGATCCATAACAGAACTGTTAGAAGCTTTAACAGATACAATTAGGTGAGAGGTTTTGTTAAAATTTGTGAATGCTTCAAGTGTACTCATAGCAGTTTGTCTTAAAAAGCCTTCACAAAAAGAAGCAAAGCTGAAGGGGTGTCTAAAGAAATTATGGTTCCAACATCTCATGTGGCTGGGGTTTAAAAACCCATGACAGAAGTGAAACATATCCAATATTTTAGAAGACAGGACCTCACATTAATCTGCAGAGTAAAAGAAGATGGCAGCCCTTTTTCCTATTACTCATCTTGCTGAGATTGCACCCCAAAAATTTAGGGCACAGATATAAGCTTCAGAATATTTAAACTTGCAGTCGAGCAATAGTAAGGTATTTGCTACAATTAAGCACATGCCTAATACGTAACTTTCAAAAACACTATTTTACAAGACTCATGATACTAAATAGCCAACACTAGTGGATTCAGTGCCTAAAGGCTTCATAACTGCATAATTTGTGTGTACAGAAGGATAAAGCCATTCAACCTACATACACCAGAAGTGGTATAAGTATTGAACACATTTCACTATAAACACTAGGTTTGGCTTATCTATAGCTGGACTGTAAAGTTTTTCCTTTTTTTTATCCCCACAAGTTCCTAATTGAGAAGTATACTTAAAGTAACAACTTCTTTAACAGCTAAGCAAAACAGGCATTCAAACGAACCAAAAAAGCATTTTAAATCGAAACCCAAAAATTTTAGTATCCATAACTGCAACTCAAAATTACTCTTATGACGTTAAGAAGAGGCTATGTGTATGGCATAAAGCATTTGGATTTCCTTATAGATTGTTATCTTACCAAAATGGAGAAGGGTAGGGTAATTTCCTGACACGTAAGAAGGGAAACATGGCAAACAGGATAGGAAACAAAATCTGGAAAGAAAAGTCAAGGAGAGGAATGTCTAGAAAAAGATTCTGAACAAAAAAATTATTTTACAAAGCAGGAAAAAGAAACATTTGTAGAAGAAACAGAATCGCTTTACATGTTCAGCATGCTAGTATTACAGCTTTAGTCTTTTACAGTACTTTAATTCTAGTTGAACAGAGAAACATTTATGCAATTTTTCAAATAAAGCTTCAAGAGAAGGTATTTCAACATGATCAATGTTTCTGAATGCTTTTGAGTATTTGTCCTTATCTGATGGCTGGGGGCCTAATTTTGATATGGAGTGTGTTGGCTTTTTTCTATAGATACAGAATATTTATGGCTTCTCCTTAGGCTAAATTGAAAGTGGCTCAACCTACACCACACTTCATGGTCAAACTAAGTTGCAAAACAAAAGACCCATACTTATAGAAATTGGTTTTCTAAAAATTCATTCACTTCAGGACTTCAATCTAAAGGCGGGCGGGATGGAGGGGCAGGGGAAGAAGAGAGACTGGTAATGCAGTTGCCAACCGCAGCCATACTCTTTCCCCCGTGGTTTAGCATCTATTCCAATGCTTGTAAGATAACAAAGTTTGAGATTGTTTAGTAAGGACCCAACATGTTTGGAGCTTTATATAGCCTTAGTTGCTGCATGGAGCATTCTGTCTTTAGCAGCAGAATGCATACAGAGACATAAAGCAAGAGATTCATTACATTTTACTGGCAGGAGTTTGGACTAGTCTATTTTCACAAGAGTAGTAAAACTACAAGTGACTTATGCAGATCGCTTTAAACAAGGGCACTTTCACATAACAGAGGATTTCTGAAACTTTCCTTAAATAGCAGCTCCTTGACACTGTCAGTGCTGCATCCCCACACGGACTGCCTGACCCTCCTTTGCTTGCTCTGCACCAGACAAGGATCACTGAACAGACCTCACCCACTTGCTTGTTATGCACCCCTGTCCGCTGCCCCATACAGGTATTGAAATCTTGAATTTCTCCATGAGCCTGTAAAATCTTACGTTAGCAAGTCAGAATTCATAGAATTTTTTTTTCTAAATCTGTACAAAATTGGGGGTTTTATGTATATGTGAATACCTAATATCACAGCTACTACGTTGACATCTTTTAATAACCAGAGTAGCAAGATAATTGCACCTAAAGAAAAAAAAAAGACATTCCATCTACTTTCATGGGGAGTTTTTTCCTGCAGATAAATGATACTATGCTACACAGTAACACATCTAGCACAGTTCTAGAGATAAACATCTGAGTAGTAGGACAAGGCTTACATTTTTAAGGCTAGGTTGTGCATCGCTCTTTCATCTCTCAGCTTACATTGGCTGGAAAGTGTTTCTTCCGTACCCTCATTCAAACTCATCTTTAAATAGAGGCAATAGTTAAACTGCCAATTCAAACCCTTTAAGACAAGGCATATCACAGCATATGCATAGATTTTACTGGGGAATAAAAAAAGAACTTACAAATACTTTAGAGTAACACTAATAATATTTGTAATATTTCCAGGATATTTTAATACCTGAAGTCCAGCTTTTTGTGGCTCAGGAAAATATAACTTCTGTATTAAAAACATACATAAACTAACCTTTCCCCATACAAAGCATTTAAGCTTAGAAGCACATTTTAAAATGCTTAATGGAAAAATCAACAGTACTCTTTTCTATTCATAAACTGCTTCAGTTTCTTAATGCATTATTTTTATCTCCTAGATCAATTTATTACACTTTAGGACCAACTATTCTATAACCTGAATATCCTAATTAGCCTAAGTTTTATATATATATAAAAGTTATATTATTTCAAAATGTATTATTACTAAAACTTTTTCTGAGATGAAAGGTTGCATTTGAGATATGCAAGCCAAACACTGCAGGTACAATTCACTAAAGCTTTTTCTGCAGTGGTTAATCACACAGTAAAAATATTTTAGAGTTAAAAAAAAAATATGCCCACAGCAGATGATCTCTGCCTAAGAGGCACACAGAGGACTGAAATCAGTTGTGCTGTCTGTAAAGGACAAAAGGTAACTTTATAATAGCTCAGAGAGCCTGATCAATGTGGGTGCTTTAACCAGTATCAAGGTTTTGGCTGGACAAATTTAGATTTAAAGAGATGCCACGTTTGGCTCGAGTTGCATTAAGCAAAGCCATAAGTATGAAATTCCAGTGTACAATGCTCCATGCTGGCCCAAATGTAACGTATGATAAAGTCATAATCTAAAATAGCTATGAACTTAATCACAGAATGCTGAAGGTAATGGCACTACTAAAAATACGCAAGTTAGCCAGAAAAGCAAAAGTTATCTTAAACGCAAGAGCAGAACAAACAGAACCAGTCAGTAAGGAAAACAATTTCATAAAAACACAAGATAAAAGTGGCAGCAAAAAAACATGCTTTCAAATTAGAAGAACAAACCATTACCTATGTTTCTCCCTTTGTCATCTACTACAACACAGCACTCATTAACTGCTTCCAAATAGCTTACTGACATGTGTTCACCGCTTGCTGACTCTTAACCTTCAGCTACCTACAGCAGTTCTAAAAAAAAAATATACTTTCTACTGAACAGGCATAATCGCACTCTGTGGAATTTTGAGTAAACTACTTAAAAAGCTTATTCTAACCTTGTAAAATACTGCAATCCAAACAGAAAGACCAAAAAGAATGTTTTATTCTTTTCTTACCCAATTCTTTAGAGCTCTTTACCACAAGTGAATCTACCTCTACTGATTTTGGTCTAAGTGGTAATGGTTCAGTATCTAACTTTGGTTTTGCTACTGGCTCAACTTCAGATTTCGGTCGAAGAGAAACAACTTCTCCATTAGGTCTGTAGTAAGAAAAAAGAAGACAAGACATACCTAGTCAATAAACAGTTTACAACTGAAACATACCAAGAATTACAGGTAAATTGAAAAATTTCAGTAGATTTTATCATTTTCTAAAGCCTTGCTTAAAATAAAGTCTTTTGAAGAGCAATTCTAGTCCTATAAAAGCCAATTCTTCTGTTCAAGCTCTTGCAGAGTTGTCAAACATGTACAATCCTCTTGTAAAAATAATCCAAAACTTCTACTACAGGGCATACTTTGGCACTTAAATATAAAATATTACACTTCAGAGCAACAGAAAACAAAATAGCTAAATAGCACTTTCAGTAATATCTCTTGAAATACTCAGAAACATACTCAGAGTCCTTGACATCAAAATCTTCCTGTAAAGAAAAACACTACCAAGAACAAGTTATTTCTTTCTGGGTATAGAGTAAAGTACCTCGTATATACGGCTTTTATTCTACCACGCATTCTTTGCATGTCTGGTGACACCATCCAGGGACAAAAAAAACCCAAACAAAAACCAAACCAAACAAAAACCAAACAAAAAAAAAAACCAAAACCCACCCCCCCACAAAAAAACCCCACCAAAACAGACAAACAAAAAGGAGAAACACATGACATTTTCCTTTACAATTCTTCCTATCATTTACGCCACAGCATAAAAATAGAATCACAGAACCATTTAGGTTGGAAAAGACCTTTAAGATCATCAAGTCCAATCGTTAACATAGCACTGTCAAGGCCACCACTAAACCATGGCCCTAAGCACCACATCTACATGTTTTTTAAACTCCTCAAGGGATGGCGACTCCACCACTTCCCTGGGCAGCCTCTTCCAATGCTTGACAACCCTTTTCAGTGAAGAAAGTTTTCCTAATGTCCAATTTAAACCTCCCCAAGCACAACTTGGGGCCACCTCCTCTTGTCCTGTCACTTGTTACTTGGGAGAAGAGACCGACCCCCACCTGGCTACAACCTCCTTTCAGGTAGTTGTAGAGAGCGATCAGGTCTCCCTTCAGCCTCCTTTTCTCCAGGCTGAACAACCCCAGTTCCCTCAGCCGCTCCTCATAAGACTTGTGCTCTGGACCCTTCACCAGCTTCGTTGCCCTTCTCTGGACACACTCCAGCACCTCAATGTCTTTCTTGTAGTGAGGGGCCCAAAACCGAACACAGTACTCGAGGTGCAGCCCCACCAGTGCCGAGTACAGGGGGACGATGACTTCCCTGCTCCTGCTGGCCACACTATTTCTGATACAGGCCAGGATGCCGTTGGTCTTCTTGGCCACCTGGGCACACTGCTGGCTCATATTCCGCTGGCTGTCCACCAGCACCCCCAGGGCCTTTTCCACCAGGCAGCTTTCCAGCCACTCTTCCCCAAGCCTGTAGCGTTCCATGGGGTTGTTGTGACCCAAGTGCAGGACCCAGCACTTGGCCCTGTTGAACCTCATACAGTTGGCCTCAGCCCATCGATCCAGCCTGTCCAGATCCCTCTGTAGAGCCTTCCTACCCTCCAGCAGATCAACACTCCCGCCCAACTTGGTGTCCTCTGTGAACTTACTGAGGGCGCACTCAATCCCCTCATCCAGATCATTGATAAAAGATACTAAGCAGAACTGGCCCCAACACCGAGCCCTGGAGAACACCACTTGTGACCGGTCACCGACTGGATTTCACTCCATTCACCACAACTCTTTGGGCCCAGCCATCCCGCCAGTTTTTTCCCCAGCAAAGAGTACGCCCATCCAAGCCATGAACAGCCAGTTTCTTCAGGAGCATGCTGTGGGAAATGGTGTCAAAGGCTTTATTAAGGTCTAGGTAGACAACATCCACAGCCTTTCCCTCATCCACTAAGTGTGTCAACTTGGCCTAGAAGGAGATCAGGTTAGTCAAGCAGGACCTGCCTTTCATAAACCCATGCTGACTGGGCTTGATCACCTCGTTGTCCTGTACATGCCATATATAAAGTATATAAATGGACTAGTTGTCAGCTTCAATGTGTCCCTGTCATTAATTCACCTCCCAAATCATTTATTTGGAAGTTTTATTGCAGTAGAAAAAGAGATAGCAGCCTTATCTTCCTAGAGGAATGTTAAACTTTCAGATATTTAAACATTTAAATATCCCTAGGATTTAAAGTTTTCAATTATTAAACAACCACAGTTTACTACAGACCTCTATTTAACTGCACATGTATATCCCTTTATAGCCATAATTATTTTCTAAAATGAAGGAGAAGATGACTTGTGGCTAATGAATAAATAAATCTTTACTTGGGAAATTCTCCAAAATATCAAGTGATATAACACAATGGCACACTGAAAACCTAAACAGAAGTAATGTGGCAATGGTCTAACTCTTCAGTCAGGCATCCAGTGTTCCCAGGGCTGTGCAGGGTGGGATCAGAGGCAGCTGATCCCTGTTGGAGTCAACTGTCCAAAGTGTGTGCCTTACCCACACTCCCTTTCCTGACTGCCCTCCTGCTCAGCCTTTTCTCCCTTTAGATATTCTTCCCTGTGGTTCAGCTATACAGGATCTGCTGTAAAAAAAAAGATAAACCTCGACAAATGCTTGCTGCCACCCCGTATCTTTGAAGGTGTTTAAGGTGCAAGCTCTTTGATGTAGCAGCCGTCTGCTCCTTTATTTGTACAAGGCAAAGTGCCTCATGACCTTACTTTCTTGTGGTTCTTTCAAGTCAACCAAACACCCCAAAGGGACAGTTACCCATCAGCAGTTTATTTACAGTTTTTGGCAAGGATCTAGCAAATACTTTGATGGAGACAGAAAGAAAAACTCTATGTGAGGGACTGTATTGATGCAAAATGAGTCTTAGTGAAACACCATAAATAATTGTTTCAAACTCATGAGAGAAAAACATTTTTTAAAGTGGATCTAAGAAATAGTGAGCAATTACTTGCTATTACCCTCCCTATTTGTCCAGTAGCTCAACTGAGAATATTCAAGACAGAGCATACAGACTGGATATGGTTCTGTAATAGGTGCTTTCTTCCCCAGAAGAAGACATGAGCAATACTGAGTACCTTTAGCACAGGTACTGACTGTGCTAAACTCTTCCTTTCCATCTATCTTATTCTATATAAAGTGCTGAAACATTGAACATTGATGCAGCTCAAATCTTCTGGTTTTTTCCAACACAATAATTCTCAAGTGCCATGTCCACAGATTCTTTTATACCTTACTGCTACCGTAGCTACAACTTCTTTCTTATGGGGAAGGCTAAAAGCAAAGCAGCCCACAGATTTGTAACTTCATCTGCCCCATGGTTAGTTATGCTGTACTATCTACTCTGAGATGGATCCAATGTCTCAAAGAATTAAAATTTGTAAGTTCACACTGATAAAGACTTGGAGAACCAAGACACTGGTAGGTATAGGGCAAAACTTATCTTTGCATCATTTTCACCCTTAAAACATCGGTTTCTTCCCACCTCATCCATGAAGGAAGATCGAACAACAAACCAAATAAAATACACTTGGGGTATAAAATTTAAGTTATACTGACTTGGATACAGATGATGGCAAAACAGGTTTATCTGGACGTTTTGGGTGCAGAAGCCCTGCTCTCAGTAGGCTATTAGTCTTGCTTGGAGGAATAGGCTTCTTGGGTGGTACTTGAGGAGCTTGTGGCTTCAAAGGCTTCTGATCCAAAGCTCCCTTTTCATCTGACAAAATAAGTCACCATAACATTTAAAAAATGCATGTTGTCTAGAATTCTTACAATGCTAATAAATTAGAAAGCAACTGCTGTCAGAAATACTTTCTTTGAAGATCAAAGTGAAAAATAGATATGCAAGTGTCTTAAGTGATACCTTACCAAAACACACTAACTACTTACCTGAACTTAAAAAACATTATGTTAAAGCAAGCAAAATGTCTTTCTATTGACATGAAACAGTAGTAAGAAATTATGGATTCACATTATTGCACTAAAAGTGACAGCTAGGAACCAAGAATCTCTCTGTACTGCTAGTGCTTTCTGTTTTCTGTGAATTCACCTTATCTCCACTTAAAAAGGTAGGGGTTTGTTTTATTTTGTTGTAACTGGACTTCTTCCGTACCCACAAGCAGCACAATTTATCTATGGAAAAAAGGGGAAAAATGAATATTTATCTGAATAACTGAATTTACTTTAGATAAAGTCTACCTTCCTACAAATTCAAGATACAATTTAAGTATGGCTGATGAAACAACAACAAAAAAAGTTAAATTTATTGTTCAATGACTGCATGACCTAATTGAATTCTGCCCAGACAAGCTGACATATAACATATGAGACACTGAAAAATTCAAGCTGCTTCACAAATGTTAGTTGAATAGTCTTCAACCCATGTTCCCTAATCACACCCTGTGGGATATCCAGACTATACCTTCTACTTTTCCTTGTAAAACTATGCTACAGCTCAGTCACGCTTGCATAAAGTACTGACGATTTAAAAGACTATTGTTAGGGTACAGTAAGGAGTTACAGTCTTTTACAGTTACTGCCCTTACAGGGCAGTAAATCGTAAACTGGGATGGAGAGACTGACCTTCAGCTTTGATTCTTCCCATCCTCCCCTCCTATGACTGCCTTTAATCAAGCATTGGTCTAATGTAAAATGTTTACATATGTTATGGATTTGGGGGTAGAATTGGAAATCTGCTTCAGCTCCATCCCAGCTAAGTGCCTGAACTGCCGGCTCTATGACTGACTTCCTTTGGACAAGTTCTGCAGCCGTTGAGTGTCAGCCCTCCAACTGTAAAATGGGAAAACTCCAATTTTGTTTCACAAGTACACTTGCAAGTAAACAGATCATAAAGATATACCTCTGAGGGGAAAAAAAAAAAAAGAAAAAAGGCATTATCCAGGGCAGAATTGTCTTCCTGCTTTGGAACATTGGAAGGGGATATGAACAAAAAACCTGAACTGGTTGGCATTCCCTTCCAGTCTCTCTTAGTATCAAAAAAATAAAATACTGAAGTAGTAGAAGGATTTTGCCACATGGTGGTGCTGACTGTCCTCTGTAAAAGAACCTGCTAACAGTGCTAGCCACTTCTAACTAGTGATCCTATACGGAAGATTTAAATTTTAAATGCCCAATAGCAGCTAGCATTACTGACGATCAAGTAGCTTTATTTTAGCTATGCTGAACACAAGTTGAGAATTAAGCCTTTTGTTTTTAACAATAAGTGAGTTCATAAACAGGTCAGAAAAAATGCTGTCATCAAATCGTATTCCTGAATTATCATCTGTCAGTTTTCCCTTCAGTTACTCCCACTCAAAATCCGAATATAAAAACCATCCACAGCTAAGTGGAAGAAGTTAATACCAAAGGTCAAGATTCACCATGAGCACAGAAGTCAGACAATTCTGCTGGACAAAACGGCATGCCTCTTTTTTGGATTTTGCTCCGCAATGAAAAATAAAAGGGTTGGCTAAAAATGAGCAGTTTAGTAATGGAAATAAAAATACTAATCTGAAGACATTTACACTGGACAAAAATTTCTATGTGATACCACTAAGTGTCCTTCACTATAAACACAGAAATACTTATATGAGTATTGCTTTTAATTTTTGATCAATCTTTTTATGACAATTAAAGGCAATTATTAGTCTCCAAATAGGCATAAAAAAATTACATGGCTTGATAGCTTGTGATTAGAGCTGCTCAATTAGTATTTTCTTTGAAAACTAATTACAGTACAATTTCATACTTAATGAATTTAATCACTAATATCAACATGGTTATTTTTCCACAAGTAAAACTGTACTGATAAATGGGCATTTCTAGTAAAACACTACCGCTACCTAAATAAGCAACTTTTAAGACCTGACCTTCAACTGAACACAAGACAAACTTTTCCTCCATTGTTTCCTGTACCACAGTAAAGGACAGTTCTCCACCTTACTTAATTTTTCAGAAGCTTTCTTGTTCCTAAGCATTTTGGATGGCGTCACTCTTTTTTTTTTTTCCCTATATTCCACCATAAACAGTTGAGGCTCAACTATGCAAAGGTTAACACCATAATACAAACAGAACCAGTCTAAAATTAAACTTCAGTTTAAATAAACTTAAACTTATAAAGAGCCAAGTGATCAAAATTCCTAGTCATAGAGTTGATCTCAATTCACACCTGAAAATACTGTTTCAACAGATAAAAATAATTGGTTTGCTCACATGCAGAGGAAACATAGCTGATTTTAACAAGTATCCTTCATATGAAACACCCAAGAACATGCTTTGTTTAAAACGTGGGCTATAAAAACTGCCCAAGGAAGCCAAGAAACCCATCGAGCAGGCTTACTTGTCGAAATGTTGCTTAGCCATGGTCAGCCACAGTTCACTACTCACAGAACAGAGTATGTTTCTGTAATAAGGTTGAGCTGCAGTAACATCAGAATTTCTTCTTTAAGACCCAACCAGCATGTTTGTTTAAGCTTCTACCTTTTAAGCACAATCAAAACAGTTTAACAGTTTGACTTGGCAAGTTTTTCAAATATGAAAAGAAGCCTTTTAGAAATGTGTTTGGGTGATAATAGTACCTTTTGTTCTGAAAAAAAAGGTATCCTTTAAATTTTAAGAATAAAGTGGTAAGCATCTCTAAATTCTGTGGAACTGGAAAAACATGGAATAGAGCAAGAACTAACAGGACAAGAAATCTCAATTTCTGAGCACTGTGACTGTAACATCCATCTAAGGAGCGTGTGTATTTCTTTCAAAAATATTTTCCATCAGAGACTGATTTTGGCCAAAACATTCAGAAGCAGCAGCAAATGTTTTCATTTCTAATAACTTACTATTGCTATTCAAACTGTAGTCACTATCACAGAACTATACTTAAATTAATTCAATAGTAACTATGTTATTATGCAGTGCAATCAACATTTTTCAGAATGTAATGCAATAACAAGAAATACACATTTCATAGAAGTGTAGTTCTTCTAATCACTCTAAAGACATTTCCATAACATCACAGACATGACAGCTTCAGTAGATGATATCAAGAGAATCTGTGTGAAGTCTTTCAAATAGGTGCCTAATGCACAAAGCAGCCAAGCTACAAATTGTAACTCATTTACAAGAGCATAGTCTGAAATTCACTATGAAGAAAACTGGTCTCACCTTTTTCTTCAGGCCTCAAAGTAGGGAGTTTCTTGTCTCCAGCTGGCAATTCAGGCTTTGGAGCTGAATGTAAAAAACAAACGACAGACATTTCTCAAAGAGCTTTAATTATCTTAGTCACTAACTAAAAATATGATGTACACCAATTTGTGTTTATATTTTCTCCTTTGCAAGGAGTGTAATACAGCTATAAACACTCATTTAAGCCCAGAAAATGGTAGGCCTGTATTAAAATGTTTCCAAAGTAGGTAGGCTCCATCATAATTTTGAAAAATATATAGCAGCAGAAAAATACATAAAGCATAAAAAGTAACCTTAAACTGCGACTATGGGTGGCTACACTACTAGGAAATACAAAGCTACTTCTGAATTTTCTTCTGAGGTCATGCACTGCTTCTGAAATTTAATATTTCCTCAGACACGTACCACCATACATATACTACATACCTGGACTTTTAACTGGAGGTGGAGGTTTCTTTGGCTTCTGGGTGGGGAAAAAAAAAAAAGTCAAATAAATAAGCAGACAGATATTCTCTATCAAAGACAGACTTATTTGTGGTTTTTTCTGCATACTGTAATGTCTAGCTTGTTTACTAGCTGATTTCACAGTATTTCACAAAGGAGGCAATCAATTCACAGACAGGAAACAGAACTGGAGTAATTCCTCTAGTATCTCCTGGACAACCAGTTGCAAAAACAGGAACAAAACGCAGGTTTCTTCAAATAAGATCAGTGCTTCAGCAACATGCATAAGCAGTAGAGGTACAAAGAACTAAAACCTAAGAATTACATCTTTTCCAGCCCGAAGAGTTGCTCTGATCGCACCCATTTTAATTTCAACACGTAAACCTCAATCTTAGTTAGTACAATGCAAGTTTAAAAGAGTAATCAGGTAAATTTTTGAACCAAAAATGGTCACTTTCACAAAAAAAAAAAAGTTCTAAATTAAATATCAGAAGAACCGTTTCAACTGACTTCTAAATTACAGCAACGTAAGAAAAAAAAAATAGTTCACAGCATTTGCAACAAACACTGCAGTTGCATGAAAAACATTGTTTTAAGTTTCCTTATCACTGTATATTCAAGTGGGAGAGTTGGACAAACTATAGCCATTAAAAATTTACAAAGTATTACAATTAGTACATTGAAAATAACTCTATTTTAAAATGCAGTCATTCATCACTTTCCTTAAACTGGTAAAACTCAATCTGAATCTCTCTCCTGTTGAAGGAATACTGGCACCTCTCAGGACAGATGTCTCAAGCAACCTCATCTTCAGAATCTCCAGAAGAGGTATCTTTGTGGTTGTGTTAAGGACAAGACTCACTGATAAAACAGTCACAAAAGCCTACAAAAACACTTCTTCTTTATACAAACACTGCTGAAACCATTTGGGCTCAGTCTAATATAGCCCCTCCAAAAATGCCTTGTAGTGGGTATTTTTGAAAAAGTTGCTATGGACAGATTTCAATTCTGTGCCCCTACCACTATTGAATAAGTTCTTAATGCAGAAAGATTTTATTCTGACAAGTGAAATGTAATTAAGCAAGCATGAAAACCCATATTAAATTTCTTTCTCTAGTTTCAGAGAAGACAAACGCTACTGAACTTAAGTAACAAGACTGTATTTTCTTTCTTTCCCAAAAAAGCAAATACATTACCCAGCTGTACAGCACTGCTGCCTATATCAAAAGCAATTACACTGAGAGTTCAGCATCAACTTGCCATTATATGATTCTGAACTGTGTTTTTATTAAGTCGGTATCAAATAGCTGATTACAATAATCAGCCGCCCAATGCCTTGAACTTCAAAGTTGCTCAGTGCAAGGTGATTCCCTGTACTGAGACACACTATACAGAGCAGAATAAAGGATCAAAGCAAGCTCTGTCTATAGGAAACATTGTTTATGGTAAAAGAATAATTTTTTTCCTCTTCCTCAAGAGATCAATTCTGTATTGCATAAGAGTGGTACCACCCACCCACCCCTCAAATTGAGTCAGCCATACGTTACAGCATTTATGCCATCCTTGCAAAGCTGAGAATCAGTTTGAAAAGAAAACACTGACTTGAAGTAACTGGACTTTCTGTGCATGTTAGGTAACTGAGGTTAAATGCTAAGTTAATAACTATCTGTCAGGTTGTAACTAGCAATCCTGTCAATGTCTCCAATTCCAGACCAAATGGCACTAATTATGAAACTCTGAAACTGTTCTACTGACATATAGGCTTCAACATTTAGATGTCCTGATCTGGAGCTGAATCTGTCCCATCTGGGGATGAGGTACATTTGTGAATTAACATATCTTTGCTACACAAACTTGTCAAAACCAAAACATCACACTAATCTCAACAAAAAAATTATAAAATAAGAACCAAAATTTCAAGACCAAGGAGTACCACATGAAAACATGAATTTACGTAAGTTAGCACATGAGATAGTAAAAAAATATTTCTAGATCCCACCCAAAGATTATCCTTCATGCACTGCAACCTACTGGCGAGTCTTAACATGGAAAAATACCAGTCAGTCCCACAGGGGTCACTCAGCATTTTGCAATTACAGTTACTTACAGGACTACAGATGGAAGAGACAAACCGCTTATCTCCTTTCAAAACAGTAAGGGTTTAATTCAGTAATCAGTTACATGTAACAGCGTGTTATCAGAACTATATCCTTTTCTATATGGCCTAATCATCCTCATTAATTACAGTTAATCTCAAAAAGCATGCTTCAGTTTAATATTTAAGAAGTTTAAACACAAACATTAACCTTTAAATCTTTCTTCTTTGATATAGCTATTTCAACATAAAAGTCAAAAACTGCCACACTAGTAGTAATATTTTAAGCAGCATAATGTGCTGTGAAGTCTTTTATTCTTTGCATTTCCATCAATACTTTTTTGTGATACTAAACGATACATGCAAGAACTTACAGGGAAGTCTTTATCAGACTCTTGTATTTGAACAGCAAAATTATCTGGGAAGACTCCTTCTTTACCATTGAGTTCTCCTTTCCACCAGCCTGCCTCTCCAGTGTCCTAAAAGAAACAACAGAACATTTCAATCAATATTTACTTCTTCCCCAGAACAAATACAGTTACAGGAACAATGTTTTTGCTTTTACCCACAATATAAAATAATTGTTTGTCTGAAATATCACATTTATAAGAGGAATACTTTGGCCACCTTAGCAAAAGGCAACAGCTACAGAACAGATCAGGTTTGGTCACTTTGTTTTCTAAAAAGCAGGATGAAATGATATTACGTCATATATAAGATAAGGGTATAAGGATAAGATCTGCAAAGGGAAGGAAAGTACATAAACCCAGTTATGACCTAATGCACAATATTCAATATTCTCAACTTCCTTGACCGGCAACTTATTCAGTAAATACTTCAAGCGTCATTGGAGTAACACACAATTCTACTAAATAAAAATGATTCTGATGTGACTGATCAGGTCCACTGCTGTGAAAAGGGTGAAGATGCAAGAGCACATACCCTACTGAGGGAAAAAAATAACCACAATAAGACATAAGAAAAACAAATCAAAACAGAGAATTAATTCAGTGGCAGAGAAATCCATTACATGATCTTATTGGACCAAGGCCTTACTTTGTCCATAACAGAAACTATGATGTTATTTGAATATTTTAGCAGCATAAATAACAACTTTCCTCTGTGCCTCAGATCCAAAATACTGAAGATGTCACTCCTGCATACAAGTCCAAGTGGATCACTGCTGATAATGTGCCGCTGTTAGCAGCGCTAAGTAGTTCATGCCAAAGTTCAGCACAAAACAAGGACAATTCAGCAATCAGTTCAGCTGAGACACTGAACAGGTAAAGGAGAGGAGGAAAAATAAAATATAAAAGAATTTAAAAAAAATCCCACCCTACATTAAACTGAAGAAGGAATTGGCAGGAAAAAGACCTGAATAGGTGATTAGTGCTGAAAATAAGTTTGCTAAAGTTGTCTTTCATTTCTCCCTCCATCACCCTTTCAATTAAGTACTACAGAGTCTGATTTCTGAACAGTGTGCAGTCATGAATGGGATAAGGCATCTATTGCTAAACTTCATTTAGCCAGTGCTGAGGTATACTACAAAGTCAGAGAAACTCTATCAAAAATGATCATATACAGAACAAACTGAAAAGAAAAGGCCAACAGGGACAGGCTTTACATGAAACTTATGTGGTAGAAGAAAAATACCTTAACACTTGGCAAGATCAAAACCCCAGACTGAGGCAGCCACCTGAAAGTTATATTAATCTACTCAGACTTCAGAAGATGATTTTGGAGGGAGAGCTCTGCTCTGGATAACTCTTCTTCACTCCAGTTTGGACCATTGGTTTAAAAAGGACACAGAGGCAAGAGGTTCAGTGAAGATGGGGGGCAAGAGCCGTTGCATTTTAAAAAGTGCCTTCCACAACTACTCTTTTCCACTGTAATTAGTCAATAACAAGAAAATGGATATTAGCAGTATTAAGAAAAGCAGCCATCTTTTCCATAAACTTAAAATCCTCCTAAAGAAAAAAGTGTTTCTTTTCTTCTGCAACTGTGCAAAAGCTGAAGACAAAAAAAAAAAGAAAGAAACTTTCCACTTCTTTTAGGCAAGTTGTTATTCCTTAATATAGCAGCATATAAACCAACAAAAGACTGCAGAATACTGCAGGGAAATTAAGTATGGGTAGGTTCATTTCTTGTCTAAAACCATCTCTGCAACAAGATGACCTTTGAAAAAGGTGTTTTCAATATTCAACACAAATAAGGACATTCAACTAAATAATCACATTTCTCTAAAGAGCCAGACAGTATAATTAAATTCTGTATGGTTATTCTGAAATACCAAGCATCTCTTAACACCTGGACTTCATTCTCCTACTGAAAACATTTGCTCATTTTTTTTTTCATAGTACCTAGATCAAAATCAGTAAGTACAAATCTTAATTTCTCACCTTTTAACACAGTAATACTTCCAACCACCACCTCTAGGTCAGCCTGATATATCACCAGAGAAAAAGTACAAGTTCTGAAGGTAAAAGGGCTGTTTGCAAAGCTTTTCCAATTTCCTCACTGAAAAGGCATTTGGTACTGGGTGTATACTGATCCGACTGGCCTGTGACGAATATAAGATAGCTTCCCACTCTGGAATGATCTTTAAGGACATCTGTATCTCCACCAAGTGTAGGAGTGAAGAGTTGACCCTCACATGAGACAAATCAGTCTACAGGAATATTCACTCCAACAGACTCTCCTGCTTTCACATTTTCCACATTACCTACCTGCACAAAATCCACAAAAGCTATATAAAATTGTTACAGCAGATCGAACATCTTACCTTACTGATTATTTGAATGATCTCGCCTTCTTTAAAGCTGAGTTCATCATTTGAGCCTTCGTAGGAAAATATTGTCCTGCAATATTCCTTGGCTGAAACAAAGCAGCACAATTAACTACATTTCATACAATGGGTAGTAACATACATAATACCAGCTCACTTGTGCTGTGTGAAAGGAGAGCTCAGAAATTAACACTATAGTCATACTTCCCTTCTAGACCAGCCATCTGAGACTGCTTTACAGATGTTCACTATGCCATTCATATCACAAGAAAAATAAAATCATACATTTACAGCGTGATGGAAAGAAATCTTTGTGCAGTCAGTAGTTTAAGCTCTAAAACATTTTTACCCACAACAGCAACTTAATTTGGGTACTCTGAGTTCAGAGGGAGAAGAGAGGAGCCTCCTCTCTTGTAACAGCCTATCTAACCATCCCCATAGCATTATATATTCAATTTTGAGCTGCTTTACAGAAAAATGGTTTCAAGTTTTTTATTGAGAGTTTATATGAGATTTTTATGATCTCAAAATTAAACTAAATTTCAAATTTACATTCCTAATTAAATACATGCAATTGTTTCACGTTGACATAATTTATTAACAGCTACAACTACAGAAACTTCAAGTACTCAAGCAACACATTTGCTGAAATTCTGCAGTGAAATCAAGCAATTGAAGCAAAGGAATTCCTTGGCTAAGCACCTGAAACCAGAGCTCGTCTGAGTGACCAACTCAGACAAGTTACAGCCTCATTTGCAAAAGTAGAAAGAATAATTCCTTTCTTTCCATTTGGTACAGTTCAATAACTAATCCATTTAAATTTGAGATAATTTCAGGTGAAAAAGCAGGACGATTTACTTTACTTTCCAATGCTAGAATAAAAATAACATGAGAAAGGCCAAAATACCTTACATAGAAGTCTTAATTGCAAAGCATTTTTTGCACCTTTTTTAACCCCAGCACGCTGAAAATTATTTAGCGGATTAAAAGGCTGGATTTCTGTATCTGACAAATTAAGGAAGAGGAAACAAACAAAAAGGACTCTAACATGCTGCCATAACCTATCAGGTATTTGGCACTGATAATACACACAGGTGAGCAGCTGCATCAACCCCCAGTTAGACAGCAGCACATCAAGTCCTCATTAGGATTGTCTGTAAGTCAACTTGTTAATGACTAACTCTTGCTGGATGGTAAGAAAACGTGAGTTGCAGTTGAATCATTTTGTTGTTGCATTTTGTTTAATCAAGATACAAATCTTTAGCTAAAAAAAAATGCATAAATTGTATTCTTAAATAAAAATCTACCTTGGTCAGTGCCAACCACTATGCTAAATGCAAAAGTATGCCAAGCTTAAGAGATAGATACATATCTAGATAAGTATAGAGATATATAGAGATATGTAACCACATGAGTAATCCTAGGTACAAGAACTTGCATTATTTTACTCCATCATCTCATGATCAAAAATGCTCAACTATAGATTGACTATATTGTGGTTTTTGAAGAATTACCGAAAAATAAGCAGAACCATGTCAAAAAGATGAATGTTTAAATCCAGGTCTGGGGCAGAGGGGAGGAAACCACAATGACCAAAAAAAAAAAAAAAAACTCAACAGGTACACTACCAATATCTATCAAATTCAGGGATTTTATTCATTAGTAGTGAGTAAGTGCAACACAAGTGGAATACATTTCTATACAACTTGATTCTGTAAAAATACATGTATTTCCTTACTGCCTGGGGATTTGGTCAGTACAGCTGAACTACTGAATCCTTCCTTTCTCTCCTCCTCCTCCCTCAAGCACTTCTCCCCTCCTTACATACACCAAGTCCCACCCAGACAGAAAACCATGCCAGAACAGGGACCTTGCACTCTGCTCCAGCTGCCAGGAAGGCAGAAGACAGGGAACCCTGCACCCTGCCAAGCTCCCCATATGTGGAGGCTGCAAACCCCAGCAATCAGCACGACCCGAGAAACCCAGCCACGGATGTTAAGAGTACATTCAATTTGCCACTTCAGCATCTTATTTTGTGAGCCTGATACTCTGCCAGTAGTTAAGATGAAGGAGTCCAGTTTAAATTTCCAGCACTTAAATCTATGAGGGCATTTACAAAACAGTAAATCTGAACTTCAGTAAATATTTTTAATAAAAGGTAGTTTAAAACTGAATCTTTTCCAAAGACTCGGGACTAAGAATACAGTAGCAGGAATCAGAGATGTTGTATACTAACATAATGAGGGGAAAGAGGGGTCAAATTGGGATTTATTTTTTTTTAAAAACAAAATATTTTTACATACTTGCACAAGCCCAAAACAAGCTTTCCAGAAATAGCAGAGCCACACCAAAATAAGCCACACTAGTCTAAACATTCTAGAGATCTCTGTTTATTTGCTAACATATTGAACAGTTTATTTTAATCTTGCTCTCTCAAAACTGAGGATGATATACATAAACTATAATAAGGCCTACATTAAAATAAAAACAGTAAGGAAGAAAGCTTAGTTTTCTTCCAAAGGTTACAAAATGTTCGTAAATAGTGTCTATCGGTATTATCTACTGATGTTCTCCTACAGCATCTATTACTACTATATTTAAGTTCCTCTCTGATGTGTTAATTTCTCTGGGGAGCAGAGACTTAGCACGGCTACTGGATTAGTCCAATTTCTATGCCTCTAGCATAAGGCGCACGTGAAATTATGAAAAAGAGCTAAATACTGAATATTCTGAGTGTTCAATACTGAATGTTCACATTCAGTAGACTAGAGTTAATTTTTATGCAAAGTTTTAGACAAATCGAATTTCACAGTGTTCAGGGCTGCACATTGTCTTCCTGGCTCTTCCAGCAATAGCACTGGAATGGTTCAAAAGCAAGATCCCAAGACTATCCCAATTTTGAAGTTTAGTAAAGATTTCAAAGTTGCAAGTAAGCATCAACTTCCATCGAATGCATGGTACATAAACTTTTGATATACGCTTTACAATTGCGAAACTTAAGTACTAACTACTCTCAAGCCATTACATCAAACACTTCTTGACAGTAATTAGCTGTTTGTAAACATGGTAATGCTATTTATAGCTATCCAATTCAATAAAGCCAAAATATGGCTAAAATGGCAGGAATGCCCTATATACTGCTATACATACAGATAAACTAGGGCTCCAACTAACAAACCTGCCATTTCAAGTGCCCTGTTGTGACAGATTACACAACTCCTCTTAACTCCGCCTGAACACAGGTAAAAAGTCAACTGTTTGTTGCAGTTTTCTTATTTCTGCAAATTGTGCATTCTATATAAAACAACCCACTTACACCAAAATAAGGTACTTGCCCATAAAACAAAAATATACCTGAAATTACAATACAGAAGTCAAAAAAAATGTCTGCTCAGGAACCAGGTGAAATGAGCTCTCTACACATGACATAATTGAAGTTAATTTTTTATATGGGGTTGGCACTCCTACAAGATGTTTTGGGTTGACTTAAAAATATCTCTCTAGATAGAACTATGCAATTTGGTAGTTAAATGAAGTCATAAATTCTTCAAGATAAAAAAAAAAAAAAAAAGAAGTTATTATAAACAGAACCATAATGGAACTGGATTATCTAGGGAACAGACTTCAACAAAACATAAGCACCAACTTTCTGATGCAAGAAACTTTGCATACAGTTACGACAGCACGTTAGCAACTCCACAGTAAATCCTGAGCCTAGAAAGTAACTTCTATAATCTAGGGACAGAAATTGAGTTAGGGGACTGTTCCATAGCAATAGATTTCCAGCATTCCATCTGAACACTAAAAACTAGGCAGAAAGTCAGTCAGTTTGAGCATGTAAACATGGCAAATTAATGCAAAGGAACTGCTGCAATAAAACTTCATACCCCAGACTTATTTTGTTCTGGGATACAACCCTACAAGTGTTTTTGATTTCTTTTCCACAGAAATGCAAACAAAAATTCCTTCAGACTCTTTTGCGTTTGCATAACTCCTCAAAGGTATGGAACACTACACAACAACCCAGTATACACAACAGTTTAAGATTTTAACACAAAAAAATTGACAATCAAATACTTCTCTAGAGAGGACTACCAAGTAATAGATGTAAATTTCTATCAGCCTTACCTTTTGGTTTACTTTCAGCTTCTGATTTTATTACTTCTGATGAGCTTTCAGTTTTTGTTGTACTGGGAAAATTAATTAGCTTTGTTCCAGGGGGGTGGTTAGGTAATGGCTATATGAATGAAAAAGAACTTTGTTAACAAAAATTTGAGTTTTAATTTTTATTAGGCTACAGAACATACTCGGGTTTTTACTAGCTGAGATGATGCAAATGACCACCTCCAAGAAATTCATCACTGAGCTTTCCCATTAAGTACTTAACTTGCTGTCATTACTTGTTTACAGCCCCTGCAATTAGAATTTTGTCCACTGATTAAAGACAGAGCACAACTTTCAAACCAGAAGCCAATCTCAGGACATTGCCAGATATATTTTTGCAATCGTGTTTCAGCAGTTCCAAGTGTTACTCTTCCAGTATCCTGAAAATTGCCTCCTCCAGCACAGAACAGAAGCAGTTATTTAACAGCTCTGATGAAAGCAACTCGCTGACCACACTTACTTTGCACTGGAATAAAGCTGGAATATTCAGTAGCCATACACCACCTCAGCTGAAGAAGCAATCAGATTTTAACTACTCAGACAATTGTAAGAACACACGAAAACCCATCCCAGCTTCCCTTCACTCTTAGCAATTCATACAGAACAGAACAGCTAAGTGTCACTAGAGATTTCTGCTGAACCAAAAAACCACAGAGGCATCGTAACCAGCAACAAGTTTCAGAGTTAACATCTAACTAAAACAATTGTTCATTATATATAATATACACACATATTATTTTCCACACACACCTCCCAGGAGACTTACTGAGCTGCCAGGAAGATTCAGAGAGCTTCAGCTGCATCCACTTCTTCACAGTCCTATAAGCTACAATCATAGAATACTATCTCACAGTCAGTACTTACCTGAGCAGCCCTAATAGTGTTACTGATGTGAAAAATCCCATTGCCTTTAGTAACTCTGTTCATTTTCATTTACAGTTAAACTTCACAGGCTTTCTACTGTCAAAGAAACTAGATTTACTCTCCTTAAAACCAGGTGATGCCTCTGGGCTGGTGTTTGGTACTTCTAACATACCATAGAAGAAGCCACAGTCACTTGGGACATTCTTGGAATACATATGCAATTTAGCTCGCTCCAGAATGCTATATGAAGGAAGCACTAAAATAACCCACCTATGAGATTAAACAAGTCCAACATGGAAATAGTTCTCTACATTTCCCCCTTCTAAAACAAGATGCAATTAGAAGGACGAGGGGAAGTTTAGGCAGGCGGGGTATAAATAGCCTGAGCACAGGGCAGGATGCTGGGGACCAGCTGAAACTATCTCCTGCAGGAGCATATATACTCTTGAGCACTTCAGATACATCAGTGCTCAGCCTTCCTGGGCTGAACAGTCTCTGAATTACCCAAGGGAAAAAAAAAAAAAGCCCTCTCTACTCTAGAGTTTCCCCGATGACAGCTTTTTTTCTTACTGGCTTAAAGACTGAGATTGTCCTTCAGACATCCCTCCATCTAACTCCAAAGAGAGTTCAGCACAAATCCAAAGCAGCCATCCATTTCCACAAGACCTTAATGAGAATTATGTCCCTAGGGTTCTCCATGTTTTTTCTTAAGTCTGTCCACCTTTGGGATGACTTTGGCAACAAGCTTAAGTAGAATATTAAGTGCTAAACTCGACTGTTTATTTCACTGTCTTTAAGTTACGCAAAACTGTTCTCTCACTTCATTTCCCCTCTTGCTGAGAAATGGCCTACAACAATTTTCCAGACAAGCCGAACAACAAAACAGAGTGCCAACATATTTTAAACACAGTCAAATAACACAACTCAAAAATGTCTGAGCAGACTTTGTATTAATTGAACATATTCTAGATAGGCTCTTTATACTCCCAAGTTACAAGGCAGAAAGTATGGAAATGTGCCTTTGAATGATCAATCACACGACAAGAAAACAAACTGAAAGCTAGGTACTGAAACCCTAGTCTAACAGCATTCACATGAAGATGTAGTGATCCCACAGACTCCTACCTGAAGGGACAAAGCCTGGAGAGAACCAAGGAAAATCAATGTGCCTTCACAGAATCACAGAATGGTTTGGGTTGGAAGGGACCTTTAATGATCATCTAGTCCAACCCCCTGCCATGGGCAGGGACGTCTTTAACTAGACCAGGTTACTCAAAGCCCCATCCAACTTGGCCTTGAACACTTCCAATGATGGGGCATCCACAACTTCTCCGGGCAACCTGTTCCAGTGTCTCACCTCCCTCACCATAAAGAATTTCTTCCTTATGTCTAATGTAAATCTACCCTCTTTCAGTTTAAAACCATTGTCCCTTGTTCTGTCACTAATGACCTCAACAAAAAGTCTCCCTTCACCTATATACTGAAAAGACTGTGTAAGGTCTCCCTGGAGCCTTCTCTTCTCCAAGCTGAACACATTCCTCCTCAGGAGGTAACAGTCCCCAAGCCTTAAACAGAAGGCAACACACTCGTAACCTTCACTTCCTCAATCATTTGTGTTTTGACTGGACCACAAACAAGGAGGACACACACCATGTCTATAGGTGGATAAGCACTGCTCTTAGCACCGCTGCCAAAGGAAAACACATTCAAGGAAGGCTCTGTCCCTACCTTTTTCCCAGGCACTCACCCCACCTCTTGCCCTACACCATTACAATTATTTCCATGGCAGCAGAGGAAAGCAAATCAGTCAGCAAAACAGCTTTAATGACCACAACCCAGAGATGAAAAGGTTTTAAAAGCTTTCTTGAATTGATCACCTGAGTAAAAACTGAAACCCTGATTATCTCAGCTGCCTTTAATTTATCAAAAGCTGAAAATCCATATATAAGCTCCTGGTATAAACGATGCATAAGTTCAAGATAAAGGACTAAGCATCACTGCTGTGCCTCCAAGGGGTGAGACCGCTCTTGGGTTCAGATCAAAATAAAACTCAAACTAAAGTAATTCCACTATCATCACATTATCTGCTCTCTCCTAAGCTTTAAATTCGATACAGAGAGCAGAAGTGCTCCTTTTCTCCACTCACTCATAAAAAAAGGAGGGAATAGAAAATGAAAGAGGATGCAAAACTGTAGAACAGTATTTTTCAGGCTTACACAATCAGCAGTTTATGTAGCTTATTAACCCAAGACACGACCAAAGCCAAAAGCTCAGCAGCATTCACTGAAGGTAATTTACGTTGGTTATGACAGTCAACACCCACAACAGCAAATTCAACATCTGCTAAAACTTGAAAAAAATCCCCAAACCAAAAACCTCAAGAAACCCCCAAAATTCCTTGTTTTAAAGGACAAGTTTAACTTGTATAGGAAGACTTAACAGTCTTGTCCCAGACTATATATAAAGTCTGTTACAAAGAGAACTACAAGAGACTTCATACTGTAGATGTGTTTGTGAAGTTAAGTCTTACAATACATGGCTTTGAAATGACAGTTTTTGTATCAGCTTGGTTTTCCTTCTCTAATGTTTTAAATACCAAGACATTCAAATAGACCTTTTGGAATCAATGTTAAATATAACTTAGCATAAAAGAAGTTTGAGGGGGGTTGTTTTGTTTTATAGACAAGAGCCCTGCAAGACGATTATGGTCCGATTATGGAACAATAGTGACAAATTTTAAAATGGCCAGCGTATTCAGCATCTGTAAGATATTATGTCTTCAGATGCCACATCTTTTAAATTATTTGTACAGGAAACCCAGAAATAACAATACGAACCACTACAAACCTTATCTTGCTTTTTATCTTCTGATTCATTAATGGATAATCTTGTCTTAAGTTTCACTGAGCCTTCTTTAAAGATATCTCCAAACCCAATACCTCGGATTTTCTTTGGTTGTGCTGGTCCAGATCCAGCTTCACTCCCATTTCCTGGAGAGGCCACAGGTGAGGTAGGACCACTGAAAACAGGCTCTGAAAGTAAAAAAAAAAAAAAAGTTGTTTTAACATCTGAAATCTTTTATTTGCTCTTCTAGGAAAAAAGTGGAAGTAACACAGCTGTGTGCACTGCTCTTGCTAAACAACTTTTCTAGGAACATTATTGTAGCTGTAATACCTCACATTTGTTCTAGTTTTATATTTAACATAAGACCATTTGAAATAACACCGGTATTGCAACTGAATACTCTGGCAACTAAGTCATTAGATTGCTAACATTTCTTGCTATTTCAATTATCACAGAGGCTCCAGTTTTATGAAACATTGCTTACATATTCTCTGAAAATGTGTATTTAGTCCAACATTTAAAAGCTTGTCATTCGCACAACTATAGCTGCTGAAAGCAATAATCAATAAAGGTCCATAATGAGTCCAATCATGTTTCAACAGCCACAGGAAAAAACAGTGTGTTTCAGTAGTAGAGTGATGCCTCTCAAAGCACCAAAGTGAAATTTTCCTCTTGCTGAAAATGAACTATCAAAAATACCAGAAGTTTCTTGCAAATTTATTTAAATAGCTTTTTAATCTGATAACACTTAAAACCTATTTTAAATTACTTAAGCATTCAAATCAGATATAGTTGAGATTAATCACCGATAGATAACACAAGTATTTTTAATATTTTCTATATATACAAAGTATATACTTTGAAAAAGTATTTTTCCAGTTTTAAGGGACAACATCTATCCACCCCCAAAAAATGTAGTTCAGAGAAGAACTTAATTTAGGTGTTAGGAGCTTTTTAAGACTGTTCTTTTTGTTTGGGTTTGGGGGTTTTGGGGTTTTTTTATTTTATTTTTAAGTTACAATCAAATCTGTTAAAACCTACAAGCTAGTATTCATGGGCAGATTATTTCCATGTGCAGAATTCCAGGAGACAGTCATATGAAAATAGACAGCTTTTATAAACCAAATTCAAAATAGCCTCCACATCTTTTAGCCTCTCAGTTAAGTTCTTTTCAGTGTATGCACGCCTGGGAATTGCTATAAAAATTAAAGCATCTTCCCTTTACCATAAATTTAAGGGGCTTTGATAATACCATGAATAGGTCTTACACAATACATAGCTCTTGACTTCAATTTCTCACCTGTTCTCAACCAAGTTACTCTTCACTTAGTTACATCCCTCTTAAATACCTAGAAGAATAGCTAGACATTTCATTGATGAAAAAAGTCCAGGTTGCATGTTTGAAAGACCATGGCTCAGTGAATGGGGCATTTACTGTTTTCCAGGAGTGAGGAGAGAACTAGCAGATATTTGAGATCCTGACTGTGAAAGTACTGAGCATTAAATATAAACCCTGTGGGCGTGAGGGGCTGAAAATCATAACCTGTTAGTACTGAAAGAAAATACAATTACTTCAAATTACTGTTCAGTCCCACTGATCTCAGTATTCAGGAGTTAAAACCAACACATACCCATTTGTAAACTCATCTCACCAGACCCCACTAAACTCAGGGAACTTGACCTCCGAGGTGACAGCCACTGGGCTATTTGGGACTGCTCAAGTCAAACAACTCTTGTTTTACACTACTGCAATTATTTCCACAATTTGCCAAAAAAAAAAAAAAAAAATCCAAGCCAGACTTTTTTTCCTATCTCTGAACAAACCCTTGTTAGAAACAATCAATACTGAACATCTTGTAAATGAGGGCACACATTACTACAAGAAGGGCGGGGGGGGGGGGGGGGGGCGCAGAAAAAAACACTTTTTCCCTTGAATATACACAACTGTCTTCAAGCATTGATTAACTTGTGTCAAGATGTTGTTCCCAAAGAACACTCCCATTCCAGCAGTATCATATCCCAAGTCCGGGCCTTCAAACTGGTCTTCATAGACAGAATGCCTCCAAAGTGCAGTTTCAAGGGAACAAAGTAATTTCCTGTAAAGCACGCACTTGCCTGGCACCACTCAACCCTCAACTAGTGTTCAGCCACAGACCATCTGCTTCTGCCTGACCTATACAGTCATAGCCACAAAGGAATGACTAAATGTAAATACTGCCTTAAAAATATTTTATTGTTCGATTAAAAAATAATAAAGAATCAGGGCCCCCTTCCCAGGATTCATTTTAAGTTGAGGCTGTTTTGATTCAATTCAAGTTTTAATTCTCAACTGACATGGTTAAACACTTATATCTTCCATGTCAGAGTACTCACGTCTATGAAAATAAGACTGGAAAAAAGCTATTAAACAGAATAATAATTTTATATCCAATACTAAAAAAAGCTCAACGCTGAATATTCTAAAATTTCTAGTGATAAAATGCCAGATATACATTCGCAAGATCAAGACCTTGATTGCAATTCTATTTAAAAAGTGTATTGGGAGCAAGACAGGTATCTTCATACTCAGCATCAATATTTTCTAGAATGAAATTAAATACTTACCATTTTTAGGAAGCTTGAATTCTTTACAACTTTTGTTGTACTACAACTGTAATACTCCAAATTATACCTGAGATCTAAAATGACTTTGCTAAGGGTTTTCAACAAACAGAATACCACCTGTGTCATCCAGAGCGTCCTGTGTTTCTCCATCATCCATCAATTCCAATTCTTTCACAAAGTTTGAAGGAAACAACCCTGCCTTGCCATTTAGTGTTCCACTCCACCAGCCTTCTTCTACCTGTATAGAAATATTTTGCACGTTACCAATAAAGCAAAAGGAAATTCCTATCAATTCCATCCATACTTTACCTATGAAACTCTACAAACAGCTTTCTCAAAAGTTCAAATGACCACGATTTCTCTTTAAAGAAACCTGCTAAAGATGTAGAAACAGTAGGCAAAAAGAAGAGCAAGAAAATTATTCACTGTCACTTCAACCACTACAGCAATGATCCTGAAACACGAGACTAGCCTCATGCCAATTAATTCAGAAGAGCAGCAAAATGTTCATCAATTTTCTCAAGGTAAGACAGAATAACAGGCATTTTACATCTAACAGAAGAAGAAAACATTAAACTGTTTATGAAATAAAGATGCAACTTTTAGCCTGGCTTTCTAAGGAAATTTTTATGTATTCTTGCTGTCCATCTGTCTTTTCTTCTGTCTTGTCCAGCTTCCTCCAGTCCTATTCCCACTGGCCTCATATCCATTGAGCAGCTTTGAACAATTTTGATCAAAAGACACAAGTTTCAAAGATATAATTTCTACAGATAATGTTGGGTAGAACAGAGAAAAGTCCTTAAGGACATCACAGTGAGACAGAAAACTAAGCTATCCACTCCTTCTGGCAGGAGGCAACTGGCTGAACAGCATATACCTAGCTCTACATGCGTCAGAAGGTACAGATACGTTCCCATCAGAGCTGGCCAGATGACGAAGGTAGCACAAGGATTTTGTGGCGGCACACAGAAGTGCTAGGGATAGAAGTCAGTTGGATGCCAAATTTTGTTGTTGTTGGCTTTGCTGTTCACAAAACAACTCATTTTTCATTTTTGCACTGGAAACAAACCTGTTCAGGAATTAGGGAACATAATGACTCTAATGCTCAGTTATGTGCTTGTATTCCTGGTGTGTCATTTACACTGCAATACTTCGAAGTTTAACGGAACATTTATCTGGAATGCCCCATGGTCCAAAGCAGAACAAGCAAAAGCTGGGCATACATAGCTAAAGGTGTAAAACAATGTCAGAAGACTAAGAATTGTGCTTTTCAAATTTATGAACAGTTTTCAAAATGTCTTAAATAAATCAAATGTATTTGCCTAATGAGCACTATTTTAAAAACCGTAAGATAAATTTTCAAAATATTTCATTTTGATTGCTGTTTTGTGGCTGGAAAGCTGTTTTTAGATAAGAAAGAAAAGCAACAGGGAAAAAAAAAAAAACAGCAGTTGTTTACATAATCTTTTTTTAGCCTTGTTTTGTAGGTCACTATGCCTGACACACAGGCATAGTTTTTAAATGCTAGCCTACCTCCGGGCAAGCAGAATGCATGCCTGGCAGCTACAGAGACAGACAGGCAATGAAAAGAGAATTATTATTTTTAAAGACATCCTGGTGCTCAAATATAGTTTTGCTCTGGTTGGTTCAAATTCAGAGTCTGGTCCTCTGAAACAAATTTTAAGCATAAGATTACTGGCAAGCGCTGACCAGGCTCTGGCACCTCGTGCTTTTCATAATACACTACAGAAAACTAAAATTCAAATGCCTTGACTCACCCATACTACACCCATGAGACATGAGAAAGGGACTTTTAATGCTTATGATACAGAAAGCAACTCAAGCATCCATTTATTCTTCTGCCAAAAAATAAGGTCAGCAAAGCACTTTACAGTCTTGCAAGGCAAAGCAATGCCAGTTCAGAGACAGTCAGGAATAAAAAAAAAAAATTATTGAGTGTAATTGCTTCAGTGTCCTCACCACACTGTCTTTAAAAAAACTGACTACTGTATTACCAGAAAAGATATCTTTAATTAACAAAACAGGTTAAAAAAAAAAGCCCACAACCTTTTGCATGCTTTGGTGGAGAACATCTGTGCATCTCTGAGTGCTAGCAATACAGATGACAATTTCACAACTCTTATCTTCCATTTCAAAATCTTACCACATGATACAATTTCCACAAGAGGGAGTTACAGCTCTGGTACATACATCAATCCTTTTTTTGAGCGTGAATTCCATCAACTTATTTCTATAAGATGACAAAAACTGAAACTTCTGAACAAAGCCGGGGGGGAAGGCTGAAACAAGCAGTTTTGCCAATCTGATTTTATTTTTTGTTAATAAAAACTCCACTAATGGAGTCATATGAATTTCAATTATGCTTGATAACACAGCATGCAAATACTAAAAATATAATACTACAAAAATAAATCTGCTATTTAGTGCTGCATCTGACAGGAGCAGGGGAAAGATATGAGGAAGAAACAAAAGTTTCACAGCACTGATACAGTTATCACATGTACTTTATGCATGTATTTTGCACACAAAACCCACATGTTCTGTAAATAAAAAACCCTGCAGATTCAGCCAGCACAAGAGCCTTTTTCCCTAAAAGCTACTTCCGGTTCTTGTAGTCTGCTCTCTTCAATATTAGCCATTTAATTTCTGAACCCATCTGCCTCCACCTTTGATTTCACAATCAGTAGCGTCAGTTTTAACTACTCAATTCATGAATACAATTGCAAGGGTTAAATACTGAATATTTCTCAGGTAATTGGTAGAACTGATTCCCTTGTGGAGCTGATTTTACCTTATTTTCTCCATGAAAAAAGTGACTAAGTGATCTTTCGTTGAAGTAACAGTTATGAGTTATCTGCATATATATAAACAGCACCTTTTATATATAAATGGAAGCAAAGATAGTCTCACAGTAGCGAAGACAAATTACCTAGGACAAGTTATCCCAGCGTATTGCACAACCAATGGATGGTATTTTCTACCATTCTTCACATTTCTGGTCCATCAGTACAGTTTTGTGAAGCAGCCCTAGCCCACACCTGTCAGGTCTATTCTAGACCATCATAAATACAGTGTGTAAACAGCTCTGTGCTAATAGTTAGCTGCAATATTTTTCTACCAGGTAGCATTTGCCTGAAAACTTGATTAACAGTTTCTCTCAGAAGTAGCAAAGGCTGGGTACTACAAACAGGTATTTTTAAATCATTAGGAAAAGGAAGAAACATGGGGACAGACAAAAAAAAAATTAAAAGAATAAAGTAAAATCCCTGTTTCCTTAAGAAAGCAGATGAGGAAATGCTTTGATCTTTTTATTCTCTTTGGCTACTTAGTCATCTCTGATATGTCACACTGAACACCCCTCCCCAAATAATTCCAGATGTTGACATGTACAACCCGAAATGGCAGCTCCTGCAACAGTTTACTGCACATGCTCTCTCTTCTGAATGGATATGTTGGACCATTCAAAGTCATGACTGTTGTGTACAGGCACTACCCACAAATTAAACTGGTGAGGTTATCTGGGGCACTCCTTTACAAAACACCCACACACAATGGTATTTATGAAACTGATTTTAGTGAGCAGGTTTCACAAGTCACTTGCTCTGTTTATTCAAAGAGAACAAATTCTAGAAGTCATTAGTGCAAATGCATCTAAAAGCATAACTTTTTCCTTGCTAGAAGAATGGAAAAGTCCTTCCTGGCAACTGTCGGGATCCTGGAGAGTTAGCACTCTCTTCAAAAGTAGTCATGCATGTGAAAAACACAATCTCATAAAGCTACTTAAAAAGCACCACCAGACACATGGCTAGAAAGAAAGGTTCAATCTTCTCCATCCTCAGACCCTCAAGGAGGTAGTAAGAGATGGCACCAGTGAAGGTCAGAGCATGCTGTGCAGAAGTTTTCCACCTAGTTCTGACAAGGTTCTGTCCACGATCGCTCTGGTCTTTTCTGCAGGTTCCCTGACAGATTTCACTCTTGTAAGAGATACTCTTCTGACATTCCAGCCTCCCACAACACAAGTTGCTATCAAATGGAACAGATACCAAGGAAACATGTAGGTAGGAAAAGATAAGAAACCCCCAACCCCAAACCCCTACTCAAATACATAGGGCCACTGCCATCAAATTCTGAACATCAAGATGTATCTTTAACTGTATGTCTTACCCAGTGGAAAAGGAAGGCAATAGAAATAATAACATGTTGAGTGCATTTGTATGCTGCATATTTTTGTGCAAGTGGGTTGAAGTATATTGTACTACAGGTATAGGCTTCTGTGCTGAATACTGTTACTATTAGTTCAAAGCTTCAACAAGTTTGCAAGAAAGCATGAAACTGGAAAATCAGGTCAAATAACATTTTTCACCTAAACCAAGTTAGAGTACGTCAACTTAAAGCCAACTGATCCAACAGTTTTAGCATAAGCATCCTAAAAACAAGGATCACATAGACAGGGCCAAAGGACTGTAGAAGTCTTTCAAAAAAGGAATCTGTGTAACAGATCACAACTTATTGCTGCAATGATCAAATACTTCACCTAAACATTTAGCATTCATTGATTTAGGATTAGATCCTGAGAGAAAGAACTAAAACTATTAGCTTCAGAAATGCTACTTTCCATCCTATTTTTCCAACATCCTTTTAATTCAAGTAATCAGCCAAAAAACCAATTTGACTTTTGGCCACAAAGAGATGATAAGCTCTGTAAAACAGCTTACCTCTTCATTGATGTCGATCACATCCCCCAGCTTGAGTTCCAGCTCATCCTCGTTCTGTGGGACATATTCAAAGAGCACTTTGCACTGCCGCTTCTTGGACCCTAATTCAAAGGAAATGGCAAAAGTAAGAACGTTTGCAAAGCAAAACTAGTTTTTCCCTACACTCAGCTCCTGAGGATCAAATCTGACCAGAAGACCCATAAACTATCCCAAAAAGCTACATAGCTTTTGCTGCTGGTTTTCCAGTTTGCTTGTGTCGCTTTAGGCTAGTAAGCCATATCTTAGACAGATATGCTGATTACAAACAAACACTATGCTGCCAATTACCAACATGCTATAAAAAACATGTTGACACAAGCAAGTCAGATAAATCCCCACTCACTGACTTTTCAAGCTATTTCCTGCCCAAAATCTGCAGGAATGACAACTACTGCCAGTTGCAGTGTTAGCACCTGCTTGGAAGAAAATGTGCAAGTTTGCATCTTCAGCCTGTAAGCAATCCTGAAAAAGTAACACGTGTTTTGTTCTGCACAACACTGAAGTGCGGATAGCCTTTCTGCTCCCTAGCAAAGACCTTGCTAACCACAAGTCTGAGGTAATGCTAACATTTGCCTGGCTCATATTTCAAAATCCAAACTCATTTTTATCTGCAAATGCAAAACACCTTCCTTTTCTCAGTGCCAGTATGGAGTCGAGAAATTCAACCTAAGCTTCAATTAGCAGTGTTTGACAAAGGCAAAATTAAAATAAAGTGCAGTCTTTAGAGTTTGCCACATATCATTAAAGCTTTTCAGGCATTAAAAAGACAAAATAACATCACGAAAGGGGAGAGCACTGAAGTGGCTTCCAACAACCCCTCCAGCCAGAGCAGTGTGAACCTATGATTGCCCAATTACTCTGTACATATCCTGGAGTGATGCTACTGCTGAACCTGGAGAGTTTAAGCATTTCTTCTTCAAACGAGAGGCCACGCCTTCAGACATTTTCCACAACAGAGCAGCCAGCACGCTTTTGAAGGCAATTGTCATCCTGAGCTATGACCCACACACACTCCCTATCCTCCTCAAAAACAATCTGCCACGGTTTAAGTGAAAATATGAATCAATTGAAATGGTAAAGCTTAATCTTGTAGGAGCTGTATAATTTCCATATTCTCTCTTATACTTTGCACTCCTTCCATACTCAAGCTTCAGCAATTAAGATTAGCTGTGTAAAAACATTTCAAAATACAGATACTGCCTCCAAGATTGATCCTTGTCTTATTATAGCAGCATTGAAAGTCCAAAGTCAGACATTTAGAAGACTGCCACACCCAGCGACCTCAGTACAAAACATGCCAGGCGTCTAAGTAATATTCAGCATCTGAAATTTCTGAGAGAGGGCTCGCCAAATCAAGAATTTTCTATATGCTGGTTTATGGTCTGTGCTCTAAAGAGCTTAAAAGGGGCAGGAAACAAATAAACCAAAAGTACGAAGGTCTATGGGTTATTTCTAATAACACATAATTGCCCACATAATACACCCTTCTTTTAAGTCCACTGAAACTCATACATCAGCCAAGAGGGATTGTTGGGTTAACAGTAATTGCAATAAACGGTTCACTGGCCTTTACTACCTCCTACAGCACTTTCAAGGGCTCCTCCTTTGTATGAGATTAACTGATAGCAAAAAAAGGCAAATTAAAAAGTCATGGCCATTTGGAATAAATCTGATCTCAGCATTCCTTTTCATAATAGAATTCTATCTAAATGGGGAAGAGGGGGAGAAAACAAACCCACAGATGAATTTCACATCCAGAACTCTCCCACCTGAGGTCTGTTTTGAGTGATACCCAGTTTAGGAAGTACTGCCTTCCAGTTTTGAAAGTCCCTAGATTAACCTCAGAAGCTAACCGATCTGCACAGAAAACAACACTCCAGCTTCATGTGGTGCCACAGGACTGCTGGGCTGGCAGTGCCAGGGCAATTCTGTCTGTTTCCAAAACAACTTGTCTGGTTTCAGGTTTTATTTGTTTTGTACAGTGTAAACCAAATTTAGCCCTTTGTTGCAGTAAATTAGCCCACCTTCTGTATTTTCCTTTTCCTGAATAAAAGCAGCCATCTAACTGATAGGAATACTGCCTGCAGCTTACTATGCACCTGATATAAAATACCTGAATTCATTGAGAGCTGCACATGAGAACAACACAAAGGACTTCCCAGGCAGAGACAACCTACCTCAGCACACATTGGAAACTTGCTATTAAAGCAGCTTAACTTTGTTTTTAACTTTGTAAACCTCATATTACCAGGTTAGGAACCTGAAACAGAAAGACTCCTAAGCACTGGAAACCTTTTGAAAGGAGTGAGCGACAGCCCGGGAACAGAGCAAACAGGATCTGCAGGAGCTGTTTAAACAGTCTTCCACAAAAGAGGGAACAGCAAGTAAAATGGAAACACAGAGACTGTCGTTGCGCCAAGTACACAGTTGTGTGCTTAAAGGAAGGTGCTTGAACACCATTTTCTTGTAGGAGAATGAGACTAGCCAGGGCACTACAGCGTTTGAGACCAAGTCATACCTACTACCCTGGCCACAGCCACCAGCATGAGGACAAGACATGCTGAATATGGGATTGTTCCAAGGTTGGGGAAACCAGAATGAGTAGCCAACACCTAAACCAGTATCAGATCATGTTCACAGAACCACAGAATCCTAAAATATCTCGAGTTGGAAGGACCCATAAGGATCATGTTGATTCCCTTTCAGAACCTGGTTGCATTAATCCAGGAACACCGTTAATCTTTCAGGCCAGATTTTCAAAAGCCTGCTGATAGAAACATCTAACAGGCATATATGTGCAATTGCCAACATGCATATACAAATCAGATTTATTAAAAAGTAATTTTGAAGGTAACATCCTTAGTTGCCTAGAAGATTTCAACAAATCTGTAAATCTGGTGGTCTCGTTTCAGGGCTTTAAATGATGACTAGTGGCTCTTCTCCTTTTATGGGCAAAAACTCAAAGCATAAACATACCAGAAACAGTAAGTTCTGAATTCTTTCTTTTAAAAAAAGCAAGCTTAAATCATAAATGCCTGCAATCCCTTATGAGAGAGAGGAAGCCAGAGTAATTTAGAGCAACGTCTCTTGTATGACTGAGGTGTCCAAATACAAATCACAAGTCAATTTTCTGGATGCAGGGAATGCGAAGTTTTCTGCTCTAGGTTTTAGTCACCTTGATTTAAATACTGGCATTAAAACACAGAAACCACAGATACAGAGGCATCAAGTCTGCATTCCTGACCATCCTGGGGGCTGCAGTTACAATCAAAGGAAGACCACTACTTGCTCTTAGACACCACCAACTCCACCTTATTTCATACTAGAAGCAAGCCACCAAACAAGAGGAACCTGAACTACAGAGTGTTTCCTTGCCAAAAAGCCCTGAATTTGTAGCAAAACTTTTATGTTTAAGAGAAATGATCACAGGAAGATTTTTGATTATCGTACAGGCCTGCAGTTCTCATTCAGGTACCTGACCATATGAGCAGAGCTCACATGAAGTTACAGAGCAACTCTCTGGAATCTGGACGGGATCTAAATCCTGTTCCCAGGAAAATTCATCCCTATTGCTGCTGTTAAGAACTACATATAAGCTTTCTGCCCGTGCATCTAGGAGCAGAATTTGGCTTAGAATCAAAATTTTTCCTCTTATGCCTCTAGTTTTCCATACAACTTTAAAACCAAGTCAGACATTAAATAATTCATGTTTATTAAAAAAAAAAAGTACGTCAGCAGCTTACGCAATTGAAGGAATTGGAAAGACTACATACTCTTCTTGATGCTTTTGGACGGGGGATGAGGCTGAAATCCTCCTGCTGGAAGCCCATAGTTGCTCATACGCTGCACAAGACTGGCTACATTGCCAGATTTCTCTCTCCTGACTGGTATGGCATCATCCTTGGGCTCTACATCCTTCTTAACTTCCTGAAACAAGAGATTTAAAAGACTGAGAGGCCATTTAAATTAACCAAGAGGTCAGTGTTTCTAGACAGGCACTCCATAGACTAACAGATTTCAGGTACTTACCATTTGGTGTGTAATGATGTATTATACTCAAAAATCATGGCATTCTGCAACTAAATCCTGAATAACACTAAAGGCCTGAATAAACTTGACCCTTCCATACAATCACATTAGTAAGCAGGTAAGCTGATGTGCTGGGAAAATTCAAGTAACAGGGGCAGTATTTTAGCCATCTACTCCAACCCTAAGAAAAGTAACTTTGAGCCCAGAAGTCCCATATTGCAACTCTTAAGTCACAGGTTACTTCAGTGACAGACCCATAGGGTAGAGCACTAAAAATATTTTAGTATTTAAAACTGTATTAGGTGATCAACTCTGCCTCAGAAAGCTCAAAGGTTGTTCGTTGACAAGATGCAGTCATACGGCTGAAAGACATGAGTGGAAAAGAGAGTGACATACAAGGAAGAGTGGGAGGACGTGAGGGGAAAGGTGTAGGAGGAGAGTAACAGAGACATCATTTTTCTGATCATTTTCTCCCACCTTCCTATCTTTACAAATTAAAGTGTTAGCATTGGAATGGAATGTGCCAATCAAGAGTAAGAAGCCTATAAACAAGAAAGCATCAGTTCTTCACAGAAATGGCCATGTACTTAGCAGTTACTCCGCTGCCTCAGCTCACTAAATGAGACTCCACCAGAGAACAGATACTCTGAAAGAAGGAAATCATCACTTTGCACAAGAAAAAAAACATTAAGTCAGATCAATGGCCTATCTAGTGCAGAACACAGCTCCCAGCAGCCGCAATCCCAGACACTCTTTAGAGAGCTAGCCCACAACCCAGATCCTCCCACATTCCCAGTGCACCAGTAAGGGTTTCATTAAGGAGATACCTCCCCTCCTCTCTCCCCTTCATGCTGACTCTCATCAGTGACTTGTCAGGATGGAGAAGTCCTTTGCTTCTTAAGTATCTTCCAACCCATACAAGAATTTTTCCTTCAGTCTCACAGCAACTTCATGCCTTCAATAACTTGATGGAGAATTTTATCAAAGACTTTCTGACAACCCAAGTGTGTCACCTCCGCTGAATCGTGCGCACCTGTGTGCTTAGTAAGACCCCCAAAGCCTATCAGCTATCCCACCACCGCAGCATTACAATGTCTTGAGGAAAGCAAACACCCATAAGTACTTTGCAGCTTTTTGTAATCCACTTCTGAACAACTCTTGCATCCACCATCAGTAGCCACTGGTTAACAACTCCACTAGTTATTGCAGCTACAGCTGCAATAAAATATTTAATAATATTTGAAAATAATATTGGCAATGCATATATATACACTTGCTAATGTTGTGTGAACTCTTAAACATAAGCTTTAAGACAACAAAACCCATGCATTGATGAAATGCCAAAAATATGAGAAACATATTCACCAGCACCTATCCGGTGCTTTCTGGAACATTAACACCCAGGTTACTTACTGCAGCTGTCCAGCTGGAAAACTCAGCAGCTCTGGAAACCTACTGATGCTTTCAAACATACTATGAACCTCAAGTCAAACGCTCCACAGCGCCTTCCTATTTCCCAAAAGAGCAGAGCAAGTAGAAGCAAGACTACAGACAGCACAATTTTTCCTCCCACTCATCTACATTACATAAAGAGGCTTTTCAGAAAACAGGTGAGTAGTTCCTGCTGTTACTCTCCTTCATCCACAAGGACTTCTGCCCCAGAAATCTTAACTCTGCTGAGATCCCATCTTACAAGTAAAAAAAAAAAAAAGAAAAAAAACAAAAACAAAAAAACAAAAGTCAAACCCCAAAACTCCAGAATAGCACAGCATCATGTCTACCTCCCATTTGAGTAGATATTTCATTTTTCAAAGACTTTGTCATTCTCAGTCTTATAGTTGGGTTTTGGCCAGTTACTTGCAAGTCTGATAAACCATAAGAAATTAAATTTGGCTACAGCTGAAAAGTTTGCCACCTCCAAAACACCTTTCTAGGTGCCTTACTGACAAGGCCATTCTGCTCAACTGAAAAACACACTGGCACTTGAAAACTTGCCTAGAATTGATCTGTCCCTGGATTTTTAAAGTTACAACCTTTTGCTATGCAATTTATACAGCCTCCAAAAGCTTCCAGCTGCTCCAGAACTAATGCTCCCCCAGTTAACCAGTCTCTCAATCATAATGCTCTCCGGTAAGGAGTCAGTGCCAGGCTCCTTCCCCAGGTTTGCACTTACACAAGACTTCAGAAGTTGCTGCTGCAATAATTTTGCAAAAAGCAGAGATGCAAAAGAGAAATGGGGAAGACATACACAGGTGGCCTGGTCAAAAACGTGACCTACTACTTCTAATAAATTAAAAAAAAGAAAAAGAAAAAACACAAACCACTTCCAAATGCTAGAACAGGCTGTAAGGTAAGCATCACTTTATCAGTAATTTGTAGTATGGACAACATACTTTTAAGTCCAGCAGTATTATCAAAGGCAGCAAAGTAATTGATAGGTTACAAACATCAGGAAACTATTTGAGACAAAAGCAGTGACCACAACAAAAGACCAAAGGCCCAAAAATGAAAGAAGGAATGCCTGAACAACTTTCTTGCCTGACTTGAGTCAGTAATTGAAGTGGTGACTGGTAGGAAATACCCAAAGTCTAAAACACAAGATTAGCAATAGCAAATATAACAGAAAATATAGTGGAATTAGATTAAAAGATAATATCTAAAATAATTCTGTGAGTAACAGTTACGTGAAGAAAATATTGCAAACAGATTCAAAAGCTGAAGATTTATTTAAGAATTTCATTAGCAGAAACCAGAAAGAATGATCGAGCACTGGGAGAGACTGGTACCACCAGACCTTCCCAATACAGCTAAGATATGAAAGTTGAATACTTCGATATGCAGTTAAAAGAAACCTTCCTAATCTAATACATATAAAAGGAAAGAGGATGCAAGGAAAAAATCAATATGCCTATGTGAAAAAAAAAAACCACGAGCAGAGCACTGCAAACAATCAGAAAGATTTGCAATAAATAGACATGGGTAAAGAACCGACGCCAACCATGCTTGAATCAGAGTGGATGGTGACATTTTACTATACATATCAGAAAGCATGCCATGACCATAGCATCAAGAGAAGCAGCTTTGCAACAAGGGAAAGAAAAATAACTACACAAGAGTCTACCACTACAGCAACCAGTGGTAAGTCTAGTTTTGACAAAGAACTACAGAAGAAGGGGTTAGTAAGCAGTGAATGGATAAATCAACAACTGCTTTCTTTATCTTTAACCTACTAACCTTTAGAACATCCTTGTAAAGTAAGGACAATTTTTTTCTTCTTGTTAAAGAGGAACTGCAGCATTAATTATCCTCCTTCAGGGCATTAAAACCCACATTAAAACCAAACCAAGTTAAAGCAAATTCAGGAATCCCTGGTCTCCATACCTGCATGTGGTCCACTACACCACAAACTTGTATTTCACATCAGTTCTCTAACAGTAGGAAACTGCTCTAAGATTCATTTTCAAAAGCACACATAGGATCCTGACATACGTATCCATCGCCACTGCCAGCAATTTCATCCTGAGCATCATCTCTATGACTCTGTCCTTTTGGACACGTTAAGTTTTTACACAGGATGCAATTTCTAAACAAGACACATATCGGTTTGGATCTCTGAAAACTGACACCAACTGATGCAAACATTAACACATGCCCCTTTTAATAACCTTAGTAAGAGTCTGCAATTAACGTTAAATGTTAATAAGAGTCTACAATTCTTACATCTCTGCCCAAACAGCTGGCCTGAATTTCAGTGGTTGGAAAATAACACTGCCCACAGGTCTCATCTCCCATGTACCACTATAACCAACCTGAACATGCCCAAGACTCCTATTCATTGGCTTCACAACAAGTAAGGCATTTTTCTTTCTTTGTTTTTATTGTTTTTTTAAGTCAGCCTCGTATAGCCAAACTATCAGAGAGAGTCTGTGCTGTGACAGTACCAACAAAAAACCTCTGGGACACTTCAGCTTGTTCTGAGATGAGGCTACCACCAGCTGCCAGCCAGCAAAACCAAAATGAAAATATGACATTAACTGCAGCTGGAAATTTTAATATTTTTATTATGCCAGCCTGCTGCAGTTCAAGGCTTGTCAGCGTTTCCATTAGCAACACAGATTTTATGCATTTATGACTTGGCAGTAGAAGGTCAATACAGACTGTCTCTTGGCATAAAACACACTCAACTGGGAAGGAGCCACCCACTCTTTCTGTTGCAAACTACAACACTAGTAATAAAGGTCTGAAGTTTTCATAATCTCCACTAAACGTGTATTTCACAACAATTGCAAGATTTGCTGAAATCACTACAGGCTGATGTGCAAAAATGCATATAATCTAACTCAATAGCAAAAAAAGATTGGGGTGATCTTAAGGGGCTATTATTTTCATTGCCCCTGTCACAGTTTAACAATTCATCAGGGAAATGTATGTATTTATATATACGTAACATCTCAAAATCACTTAGGTACAGCAACATGTGAAACAAGAATTATTCTTCTTTATCCACAGACAAAAAATTAACACATCTAAATTCATCTATAGCCACATGATGCCCGTTAAAATAATCAAATAAGCAGGCGGTCCTGACCTACTTTTTAAGCGAACAAGCAAGCAGCCTTCCCCCCATCAGCTGCTTGGCCACACATTGCTCCAGCAGGGACAGCAGGATCCTCCTCACTTCCCTCACCAGAAGAAAAGAGCACTAAAAATCAGTGGGGCACTGGAGATAAAGCAGGTCAGACCATCTGAAAGGACATCAGGAATAGATGGTTGTAAATACAAAGTCTATTCCTGAATTACAGGGCATAGAGAAGTTCATTATCCAGCAAACCTAAATCCTTAGCTAGATTCTTCAAGCATAAATATTAAAGACTTTAGCTGCCCATCTCCTTCTATAT